CATTAACAGTATGATGAGCGGTGCTGATGTGTTGTCTGAGAAACTGAATCCGATTGGCGAGGAGGCAGTACACTTTACGGATCAGCTCTGCCGTCTTGGCTGAATCAAAGTTTACAAGCAATAAACATACCGACAGTTGGATCGTCAGGATCGTATAGGCGATCTACCAGAGGTCGGACAACCAATGAGTTCATCCTAGGCTCGCGGAGCTGATCTAGGGTATAGGGGTCATCTGGGATTATTGTTAGTGAAAATCGGCAATTGAAACAACGGCTACTCATACCAATGCTTGCAAGTACAAGTCGCCTGATTCTGTTTTTTTTTTCTCCATCAGCTACGGGTATTCCGATATGAGGGCAGCAAAAACTCTCAAACTTACCGGTGTATCGTAAAATACACGGAGGGCGGCACCTCAGTGCTCACGCTCACGCTGGCGGTGGCGCTGACAGAGACATGCTGCTCTGCCTCTAAATCGGGCTCGTCGTTGGCGTTGGCGGCACGCGTGTTCGAATCTCCGTCACCCCATGGTGACAGCGGTCGAGTCCAGTCAATCAAATCCGGGGTTCGGGGGCCCTCTCCGTCTTCCATCTGACGTTAGGGGAGTTGTAATGATGAGAGAACGTCTTGTTTGTAGTGCTCAGTCACACTAAGGTCGTCCGGGACACCCTCCTCGTTATGTTTCCTGTTTGCCCAGCCACCCACAATCCTAGCCGATGCAGCTCTCCTCGTTGGTCCCAAGCTGTCGTGTTAAAGGTCAGTGGTCTGCATGTTGTCGACTTGTTCAAAAAGAGATGTTTAAATGTCGCATGCAGTTATGCGCTCGGGCTGCCTCCCAGTGAGGGGTTTATCTACACATGTCCCCTGACTCGATCTGTCTTGACACTAACGCGATCCGATCAGCAGCTTGCACTGCCACGCTCGTGCCGCCTGACGTAGATGGGATAAACGCCGCGGCATTTCCAGTTGACCGACAACTCTAAATTTCTTCACCGAGGTGAGGCGCTTTTAAGCTTAGATGACCCGGATGAGATGAGATCAGATGTCTCACCACACGCTCACCTACAACAACACCCATCTTTCCAGCAAGCCACACACGGCTAGATAGGTGATTCTTCAACATTACGCATGGATTTTCATGCATAGGCCGTTAGCACACGATCATCAGGCACTTACTGAGCTCCTAGTCCCCAACGGTCACGACGAGCTCTTAGATTACAAGGCCAAAAAGGTGATCTGCAACCTCATCAAGCCGTAGAGCAAAAGGTATGAAAGGGACGAGACTCGAACTCGCGCGGGTTGCCCCACCAGGAAACAGATGTTAAGCTGACCTTAACCTGGCGCCATAACCAACTCGGCCACCCTTCCATAGTCTCATGGTTGAAGAACCTGTGATTGTTGAGATTGGCGGCGCAGATTTGTGAGTATGGAGCTTCAGGTATCAGGGCAAGCCCTCAGATACGCTGATTTGACGATGCTCGTGAAAGCGGAGATGGGTTTGCTGTAACCCTGTCCCTAGCCCGTAGTGCTGTGGATACTGGTTGACCCGCAAAGGTACTCCGCAACAACATACGTCTGGTTAATCACTTGAAATCTATATTGGTACAGCTCACTACTCACTTGTTCTTTGAAAAGCCTTGACTGGGACTACAGTTGGTGTTTCGCATTACTGAGACCTACATGTCGGGTGTGGATCAGACACCCTGGTTGAGTGTCAAGGATGCAAATTACCTTATGTGATAGTCACGGACGTTCAAGGCCGTGCCTATTTCCCACTTGCCCATTATAGCTTCACGATTTATGTTCACCTATGAAAAGCCTTCAAAAGTGACTTGGACCGTTTTTTCAATGGCAGTTGGTAGAGTACAAGAGTGATTTCATTTTACAGCAAAGGCTCAGACAGCGTTGACTTTGTCATGGCTTGAGGGCATGATGCGCCAAATCAGACAGTAACGATAGGTAACCTCTTTCTAGAGTCACCGAAGACTACGTTTGACGAGGTTGACTATTTTACTGACAAAACACGAAGAAACGTTAGAAGAGTGGCCGAAATAAATTGACGAGAACCTCAAGCTGCAGTGATGCAAGTTCTGCATGTAGAATTGCAAGTAATATCAGTGTACCAACAAAGTACTCAGGGTGGCCTTGCCCATAGCTCATGGAAAGACAGGGAAGTAGACCTCCTTGGTTTGAATTATTTCGTTTGTAGAAGCCCCGGCGCGTGCAGTCTGTTTCTTGAGTACGGATTTTGCCTCGAGATTCTTGTAATCACGGACTTTAACTCAATCACTGAAAGGAACCTCTACGCTCAAATGCCCTCATCTCGTTGAAAACCAACATTCGTAGGTAAGACACCATGAATTTCTGAGTAGCTCATCAACCCCATTGGTTGTTATCGAAAAAAGGTATCGGTGACTAATATCGTGAGACAAGATAAGTGAGTGATCGGCAATAAGGGTACAAGTAGACAATGGACGTAGTATTGATCCTTCGGGTAGTAGTAGAGCGTATCGGCTAACGATGCCGGAGTTGTTAGTTGCAGCCCGGACATTCGACTTTGATAAGACACAACTTGCTGCACGCTCAAGATAAGATATGGCTGATATGCAACTTTCCCCGATGCATGCTCCAATCACAAGGATGCCCCCATCTAGCTGCAGGGTACATAATCACCCCCATTCTCGGCGCAAGAGTGGGTGAAGATGGGCGCCTTATATCAAGCCTTCAGAGCAGCAATTTGAAGGTCTACCAGTTGGCGTTTGGTCTTACCAGACGTGTTGCGCACATCCGTAGGTGGCAGGGGCACTATCGTACTTCAGAAACACATTGAGCTTAACGTCCAATATCGACAACAATGGCGACCGAAAGCAAAATACCGGCCAAATCTGACGAGGACCTCAAGCGCGGATCCTCTGATGACGTCGAGGCCTCTTCACTGCATTCCCCCCAAAATCGCAGCAGCGTGGTGGTTGACCCTGAAGGAGAACGATCTTATGGTAAGCTCTTGTCAAGGACATCTTCGTTTAGGTTGACACTGACATCATGCCGCTTTTAGTGAGGAAGCTTGATTTCTATCTGCTGCCGTATCTTTCTCTGATGTATTTCTTCAATGCGGTCGACCGCTCCAATTTGGGCAACGCCAAAACCGACGGAATTGAGAAAGACCTCAACTTCAAAGGGAACGAGTACAGTCTGCTCATTCTTCTCTTCTACATCCCTTTCGGAACCTTGGATCTTCCGCTCAATCTCCTCACAAAGAAGTTCTCTGCAAGATGGGTCTTACCAACGCTGATGGTGGTCTGGGGCGGCATCGCAACCGTCCAAATCGCATCGAAGAACTTCGCTGGGATCCTGGTACTCCGACTGATTCTCGGCGCATGCGAAGCCGGCTTCTTCGCCGGCGTAGTGTTCTACTTCACATTATTCTACAAGCGATCCGAGCTCGGCTTTCGCGTCGCCATCTTCTTCGGCAGCGCTCTCCTAGCCGCAGCCTTCAGCGGCCTCATTTCCTACGGTGTCTTCCAGATCGAAGGCACTAAACTCCAAGGCTGGCAATGGCTTATGCTCATTGAAGGCGTTCTGACCGTACTTGTTGGTGTCGTAGCCTTTTGGTGGCTGCCAGCTTCTCCGGCAACCGCCTGGTTTCTCAACGACAGAGAGAAGGCCGCAGCTCTAGCCAGGACCCTTCGCGATGGTTCCAATAAAGTGGACTCCAAGTTTGATTGGAAAGAGTGTTTTACGCTATGGAAGGATTGGAAATTTGTTTTCTGGCTTTCCATCGCGTTCAACTATCCCGTCGCTTTTGCCACGACGTCCAACTTTTTGCCCCAGATTGTACAGCGTCTCGGCTACAGCGTCGTCAAAACGAATCTCTGGACCGTTGCCCCTAACGCTGTTGGTTTTGTGGTACTCCTGGCGACAGCATACTCCTCCGACTACTTCCACGAACGGACATTTCACATCGTCGGTGCCTTGGCAACCTCCCTAGTCGGCATGGTCATTCTCATCGCGATCGACGTTTTGGAAAACCGTGAATTGGCTTACTTTGCATGCTTCCTCATGGCTGCAGGGGCGTATACACCTTCATGCCTGGTTCAATCATGGCACAATAACAACAATTTGAACGAGAACAGCCGCGCTGCCACAACAGGTTTGCTTGTAGGTCTGGGTAACTTTGCTGGAATCTTATCGGCTGCAACATTCCGGACCGAATATGCGCCCAAGTACATTCCTACTCTCATTGTTACCTGCTGCTGCAACGTGTTGGCGATGGCATCGGCGTTGATCCTCGGCGGCTGGATGAAATTGGAGAACCGGCGAAGGAACAGGGCCCAGGGTGTTAACCTTCAAGCTCAGGATGTGGATACATCAGAGTTGCATGACGGCGAGAAATCACCCAAATTTCGATTTTTCACTTGAAGTAGTCTTGCTGTAGACTTTTCATTACTAGCAGAGAAAGCCAACCTCAAATCAATGATCCTTCAATAATATTCACAATTGTAGGCCTAGACCCATCTCCTTAAAGTCTATCAATATTCTAATGTCCCACGCGTCAGGTAGATTAACATGGCAATTTGAGCTGATGAAGCCATCAAGGCGTTAAACACAATCATGGGCATCAGCTCTTTGCCACTTTTTGGAAAGTGGTGGTCAGAGAATCATCATCCTACCTATCGGCAAAGATCCGATTAACTATTCCACCAACGGACTTTAGCTAACGTGCGGGATTTCGCGAGTGGGGGAACATTAGCCAGCTGGGAGCATCCACTTGTAAGCCGCCGTAACGAATTACGACAAGGTCGCAAACCCCGGATTCATCCGGCTGGCCTATCGGGCCTGCATATCAAAACTGGAGACAGCCGGCCGACCAGATAGGAGAATGTAAGTCGATCGTGGACGTTGGGCTCGGTACAACGTGAGGTACATTTATCTTTATGCTCTTTGGACAGGTCTTTGTCTTCTACATCATTTTCCTTATCTTCATCGTCAATCTATCGGCAATCATGGCCGTACTCAATATCGTCGAAGCCTCAATCGAAGATTTACAGAATGCTTTGAACAGCGGTTCAATTACCAGCGTCGAGCTTGTAGCGCGTTTGCTTCGCCGAATCAGCACTTACGACTGTCGTGGTCCTGCCCTGAATTCGATTCCGATCCTTAACAATGACCTTTTCGAGCAAGCTGCCAAGTCTGATGACCGAAGGGCATCTGGCGAGAAAGTCAGGCCCCTGGAAGGGATACCTTATACGGTCAAAGACAGCTACAAAGTCAAAGGCATGGTAGCCGCTGCAGGATCTCCTGCTTTCGAACATCTGATTTCCAACGAAGACGCTTTTCTTGTGAAGCTCATTCAAGATGCTGGCGGGGTGCTCATTGGCCGGACAAACATGCCTGCAATGGCTTGCGGCGGCATGCAGAGGGGCATTTGGGGAAGGGCCGAGAATCCTTACAACCCAGACTATCTGGCTGCAGCATTTGCTTCAGGTTCATCCAACGGATCGGCTGTTTCCACAGCAGCATCGTTCGCAGCTTTTGGGCTTGGGGGCGAGACAGTCTCATCCGGCAGGTCGCCTGCTTCCAACAATGCGCTTATCGCTTACACTCCTTCGAGAACTTTTCTATCAAATCGCGGCAGTTGGCCTTTGTATCCAACATGCGACGTACCAGTGCCTCATACAAGAAGCATGAAGGACATGTTGACTCTCCTGGATGTCGTTACTGCACCAGACCCAGTTGCCAAAGGCGATTTATGGCGAGAGCAGAAAAGCGTCCAATTACCGCAACCTTGGAAGGACCGGCCTGAGAGCTTCAGAGACCTTGGCTCATCAGACACATTGTCTGGGTTGGTTATTGCTGTGCCAGAGATCTTCCTCAGTGGACCGGTACCTGAAGGAGCAAAGCCTATCCAAACGAGTCCAGCAAGTATTGAGTTATGGAAGCAAGCACGAAAGGATCTTGAGTCGCTTGGCGCAAAGATCGTCATGGTTTCCGACTTTCCGCCTTTGACAGCTTACGAAAATGACAACCTTCTGCCGGAAAGCTGTCCTCGAAGGCCGGCGGACTGGCATGCTACTGAGAGAGGCGCATTAGTGGCACATGCTTGGAACAACTTCCTTCGAGACTTCAATGATTCAAAGCTCCCGGATATATCTGCAGTGGACGCTTCGAGGATCTATCCAGACAGTATGAGGACTGAGGCGGAACTACAACACTTCGAGAAGCCCAACGCAATTCAGTACCACCGGCTGGCCGAATACGCCAAAATAGGGACTATTCTTGATATAGAAGGTCTGGATCAAGCTCTAAAAGCTCTAGAGGGCATGCGAAAGATTCTTCTCGAGGACTGGCTCACGGAAATCGGCTGCGATTGCGCTGTCTTTCCCGCTGCTGGCGATGTCGGACCTGCCAACGCAGACTCAGACTTTGAGGGGGCATCACTGGCTTGGCAAAATGGCGTCCACTACAGCAACGGAAACAGAGCCATTCGACATCTCGGCATACCTACCGTCTCAGTTCCTATGGGCATCCTGAGAGACAAGCGTGTGCCCATGAACCTCACGTTCGCTGGCAGAGCTTATGATGATGTCCAACTTCTGAGATGGGCGAACGCTTTCGAATTAAGAACAAAACATCGCAGTCCTCCGCTACATACGCCATATCTTGAATCTGATCTTGTTCAACTTTCAAACAACAAGAAGAACAAATCGCCGAGGCCAAAGCTAATTATAAGCACGTTCACGACGGTGCCAGCATCTGATGACACTAACCCGCTGTTGGCTGATATTCTTGTCGAAGGATCCGTGACAATGAGTGCGCCAATGGAAGATTTGCCGGAAATTGAGATTACCATTGACGCACAAACACTTCATCCAAGTTGCATCGACATACAGAGACAGTCCCAGTCTCTAGAGGGACAGTTGGTATTCTCATTCAGGTTCAGAACGAAAACTTCAAAGCCTCCCACAAAACAGGGTTCAGACATGACGCTGGCTCCAGTTGCTCGAGACAAGATTATGGTGGTGGTTCTAGCAAAGGCTCCAGCAAAGGGTAGCCCATCAGGCTGGATGGGGCTGATTTAGATGCACCTCCAGCAAATGCTCGCAGAATCGAGCGTGGCTAGATATGATAGATCTCACAGTTCTGACAATGCAGCAACCATGCACTGTTTTCAAATTAGTTTGCGTATTTAATCCAAGTGATGATTGAAAGGCGCTTGGTTTGGGGCCATATTGTTCTATTTAGGCAAAGCCCTAGCCCAGTAAGGTAAGTAGATGAAATCTCTTTCCTACACAGTGATTGTTGCGCCGTGTACTTGACAGCGCAATGGTGAGTTTACACCTCAGCTTCTAAGACGTTTGTTAGATTAGAATGAAAGGCCATGTCAGAAGGGAAACACGATGAATTCTACAATGTTGAGATGCTTTGCGTCTACCGCCTACGGGTACGAATCCCTACGGGTACAGACCAATAGCCCTACCTCAGTGTCAATCATTTCTTACCAAACAACCAGATTACCATTTCACCTTTTTTTCCTCGTCATGGTATACTTTCGATCGACGTGCTTCTCTGAAGCCGCTCTTCACTGGCTTGCTGTATCTCCTAGACCGCGACTGCTCTCAGAATTCCAGCAAAGCGATCTGAAGATATTGGCGTCGGTTGAAACTTCTCTTTGCCATCTCTGACTAGTCTGTGCAGTCCTGCTTCAGAATACCATTCTTTCCTGTGCTTCTTGGGATTTAGATCTTCGGATGGCCAAGGTTGTGTGCCATCGCTGCCTATGTAGCCAACCAGCTGTGGTCGTCGGTTTGCCAGGGTTGAGGAGTTTGGATTGAAGTCATGTTCGCCAGTGGTGTACCCATGTGCTGTGCGAAACATTGTATCATTTACCTTGTACGACGTGGTCACATGCCATCTATCCGTTCTGTAAGCAGGCTTACCACTTGGCCGAAAGCCGGCTTTGGTTATTTTGTGCAAATGAGACCTAAACCAAAGAAAGCAGTGATGAGCAAAGGTTTAAATCAGTGATAGACAATTCTGAAGTAAAAATGCACATACCTGATGAGAAGAGATCGCACTTGACTTTGATTCAAGAGTGCTGTCTTCCAGTGAGCTTTGAGTAAATCAAGAGGATGTTGACTATTCAAAAGACCCGGTTTGTTGATTTTCCAGATCACTTCAACATATCCCTTGGGCGGATTGATACCTGACATTTTGTTGGTTTTCTTTTGGTCTTAAATTTGTGGTGTTTGTAGCCTGGCTGCTGCAATTACCGTTGGTGGAGTGTCGATGTGCGTGATGCTCTATAATAAGAAAGTACTTGGAACTACGAGCAATAATTGAGACTTATAGTTATTCTTCAATATCATCTGTATTCCGTAGAGACTAAGAAAGGCTCTTCTAGGATAGTTAGGTAGTCCTAAAATGCTAACAAAGATGATCGATCGGAATTAGAGACCACTACCTTAAGTTTCATATCCAAGAAGATGAAAGAAGGTCTCTAGCTTGCCGACAACGACCCCTTCTCACGCCTTCTGTATAGAATCTGTAGCTAAATTTTCATTGTTACATTTTAGATAATCACAATTGCAGTGCCTTTCAGTGAGTACGATGTTGTGGTAAATGTTTTGTGTACATGTATTGATGATAACCCATTCATAAACCGGCCACCAGAAGTCGCATTCGTCCTTTTGTTCCGCTAATATTTTGAAACTTAGAGTGTCTTACTTTGATCGGTCTAACCACCCAGATTGAAAGCCCCCTAATGCAGTCCGTTGGCCACAGTGCTTTGCCCTGCCTTATCTTTCTACGTGAGAGATTGCTCCTTGTTCCTATTTTCACACATTCACACCCGCGCTTTCAGTCCATTGTGCTAAAGATATAGAATAACGCAGAGGCCTTAGGCCTAGGGATATTAGCAGCAACAAATAGTCCGTCTTTGTACCCGCTTTGACAGTATTATCACGCACATGTTTGAGGTTGGCACTCCTTGTCGTAGTCATTCTGTTGCCTTCGGTCACTTTACTTGGAATCGATGTCATAAACCCCAGGACACCCGTTTATGTTGTTCGCTTCAATCGCTTGCCAGTGTTCATCTTTCATGTCTACTTTACCCATTCTACCACTGAGAAAATATTCAACGACAAAATCGCATTCTCCAAACTTTGACATCAAGCTTTTCGATATGGGGCTCATATGGGACCTCTTCCACCTCAATCGAGAATCTAAAAGTGCAATCATCAAGTACATCAAAGCCGCCGTAGCTGAGCAACAAAGTCAACCGTTGACCGAAGAACAACGAGACAATCTTTCGTATCAGTACTGGGACAATGAGGAGCCTGAGGAGCCGTACATGGCCTACGAAGAGGGTATGTTTCATCCTGTTCAACTTGGCGATCAGCTTGGAAATGGCAAGTACATTATTGTGAACAAACTTGGAGACGGCTCCTTCTCCACAGTGTGGCTTGCACATAGCACCAAGACAGGAAAGAAGGTTGCTGTGAAGATCTGTGCCTCGAAAAGTGAGAGTTCATCGACGGGTGACGAGATGAGAATCTCAAGGATGCTTCGAGACGACTCGTCCCATCCTGGCCATCGCGTCATAGGCTACTACAACGACATTTTTCTTCACCATGGGCCCAATGGTACCCACGAATGTCTTGTTAGCGAGCCAACACGTGCCACGATAGCGGAGAGCAAATTCAGAGGATTCGTATTCCCTACTGAGATTGCACGAGCTTTGGCGGCACAACTGGTGCTCGGGGTTGCATACATTCACTCAAAGCATATTGTGCATGGTGGTAAGTTCTCAGTTCCAATCTAACACGTCAAATACACATAAGGCTGACCATGAGGATATTGCCGAAGATCTCCACGGAGGGAATGTGATGCTAGCTATGCCGGCTGGCGAGTTCGCTTGCCTGACAGTAAAAGAAATCTACGAGAAATACGGGAAACCAATTATCTTGCCGATGGATCTTTGTGTGGAGGCTACCGATTTCCATGAAGAATACCCTCTGCCAAAGAACGCGCCCCCATACATGCTATGGAAGATGTTTCTTACGCAGGACTGTGACGACCTGGAGCTGTCGGAAGCACGGGCACAGATCAAGGATTTCGGTGAATCATGGCAACCGGAGCTAGTGACGCGGTACGAACTCAACACGCCCGAGCCATATCGGGCCCCCGAATCGATGATCGCCAAGAAGCTGCAATTGCCCATCAGCTATCCCGCTGATGTCTGGGCACTGGGATGCTTCATCTTCGAGCTTTACGGCAGGATGGATATCTTCGGGACATACGTTCCTGGTTATAACAGTGTGTTTGCCACAATGGTCCATTGTATGGGCAAACCGCCGGCATCGTGGTGGGACGCCTGGGAAAAGCGCGACAAGCACATTGACGATAATTGCAACTACGTCAGAAATGGCAAGTCGGATCCGACACCTGCGGAGCCGGACACAATCAAACGACGAGTGCTGGAGCTGATCCCTGACCAGAGAGCCATGGACAGGTTCCCTGAAGAGAAGACTTTTGTGCCTGAGGAGGAGTTACAGGACCTGGCAGCGATGTTGATGCGGATCTTCCGCTGGGAGCCCGAAGACAGGGTGACAGCAGAAGAGCTAATCAGCGACCCATGGATGCAGAAATGGGGCATTCCGGCAAAGGAAGCTATGGAGGTGGCTTACGAGAAGAGGCGCAAAGAACACGAGAAGCCCCCGTTGTTGTCGAAGTCGGTGGCCGTTGGGTTGGCGGTTGGCGCTTTTGACAGATTGGCCTACATTCTGTCTCTATTGTCTCCAACTTCTTGGTGGCGCAATCTGAAATGGGCTTTGGGGGCATGAGACGCTCGGCTTGTGTTTATCGTCTGTGCCGTGTCTAGGCGAGAGGAAATTTGACAAAAATGAAGAGAAACGGCTGGAGTGCTGGCGTCACCTGTAGTTACGGATCATTTGTAAATCGCATTAAGATTACACATGCCGATGCCATCCCGTTGCCGTACTTGGTCACTAAAGAAAGTGGAATACCTCTGCAACAAAACGGCGCCGCTGGCCGCTTGAAGACTTTTCAACTCAAACTCATTCTATTCTGGAACCCACGACATATTGAAAAGAACTATTCATCAATCAAATCAGCCACTTTGTGATTTGATCATTGTCATGGCAAGGCAAGCCTCGCGTTCAAGGGGAGTGCATTTCTAGTGCAATCTATTCGTGATTGGTGGCTTTGTTGGGGTTGAAGAGCCTAAGTATACGAAGCATGTTGCTCGAATTCGACCTCCTTGGTGAGCCGAGCGCGGAACTGCGCCGACGTAGCTCACATTAGACGCAACATGATCCGCGGTCTAGGAGCCGAGACGAACCGATCATCTCATACCCGCGAAGTTTCCTCAAACGCAAACCGAGGTCCTGGAAACGAGAGAATACCTCAAACCCCCACACTTCAGTGAAGCTACGGGAAGGCTGCATTCCTGGCGCGTGGCTTGAGGTTTGCGGGGTAATTGAATTAGTGGTAGAGCCAAGTGTCGAGGCGTGTCTTGTCAGGAACTTCTGTCAAAATGTGCACAAGCGATCCAAAACGCCACAATGCGAACTGTTGTTTTCGACGCAAAGTTGCTCTCAGCCAAACGCAGGTGTGTGGGGGAGAGCTCCGGGCATCCGGCGGCGTCCGCCTTTGGTTCCTAAGTCCGGTTGTCTCTGTCTCATCTGCATGACCCTACATCCACCTGCAGCATCCATCGGACCGAGAACATTCTGACCAGTCGTTCCAGTCGTACTCTGGTATTCAGTCCAACAGGCAACACGTTCGAGTCAACCAGGAAGACAAATTGTGACTACGCAGCAGACAGTATTACTCACACTTCCTGCATCGGCGGACGGAGTGGATCAGAGCCAAGTCCGACCCGGAGCCGGGGTGGAGTTGTGAAGCTACGATTGAGAATTTACGGGGCAAATTTTCAAGATTTGATGATCCCAGAGTGAGCTCGAATTCAGTCTCGGGTAACTCCCGCGAAAGCCTTCCGGAGAATAAGAGCTTGCTTACGGATGCCGACTCTCCCAGGCATATGAGAGGTTCGCTTCGGATACGAGACGCCGTCTCTCGTTGACGGCCGTCAGTTGGTATTATTCAGCTTCCCACATGACGCCGATGCCCGTCCCGCGTGGCTCTAGCCCTCAAAAGGCTGCACAAACGTGCATACTATTGGGAAGCCGCTTGCTTGCTTCGCACCAAGAGGAAACGCGGGGTTCGGGTGGGAGGTTGGGGCGACAAGCAAGGAAGCCAAGCAGCCCCAGCAAAGCAGCAAGGGATGATCAATACCCATTGCAAACCCCCATCCCTGCTCGATGCTACCGCTGCCGGTCTACTCCAACCCGGGCCTAGACTCGCGTTGGTGCCGTCCTTTTCGAGGACAGTCTGTGGAGTCGGGAGGATCACCGACCCTGTCGTGAGTGTGAGTCGTCGCGCCGAGGTCGGGCGCAAGAAAGAAAAAAAGTAACTGAGTGAGTGACCTTGCTAGACAGAAACCGTCGTGGAGGAAAAAGAATGGGTGACGAAATATAAGCTGACGGCCACCCTGAGAGATCTTCGGCTCCGTCTGGTCTTTCGCTGTACTCTCAAAGTTTCTGTTTCTTCTGCTCTCTTGCCGGGTTTTGTGTCCGCGAGGCCGTCCTTGTTGGTTGGAGAGTTCTACTTTCGTCAATCTTACCAACACTCAGGGGCCATTGAGCTCAATCGACCCCCAAGATGCAGTTCGACAAGGAGAACAAGGCTGCGGAGTCGCCATCGCGCTCCCTTGACCATGCGACAGACCTAGATCGACCGGTCTATGGCGATGATGCCCCCATCGAATGCCCTCCTCACACAACAGAGTCGAAGCTCATCACAAAGATCGACTTCCGCGTCATCCCATTCCTGTGTGTCATGTACCTTCTGGCCTTCCTCGGTAAGCTCTCTCCCCTGCCCTCAAACTGCGGCGACTCGACAGCAGCCATCGCCCGAAGCCTTTGCATTTGCCTGCATGCTGATCAGAATCGCAACCCACTAGATCGCGTAAATATTGCCAACGCCAATGTCTTCGGACTGTCAAAAGAGCTCGAGCTGGACGGCACACTGTACAACAACGCGCTCGTCGTCTTCTTCGTGCCATACATCCTCCTCGAGATTCCCTCCAACATCCTCCTAAAGAAGTTCAAGCCCCATGTCTGGCTCAGCATCAACATGTTTGGCTTCGGCCTTGTCACCATGCTCCAGGGCTTCGTGCAGAATTATGCTGGCCTCTGCACGACGCGCTTCTTCCTCGGTGTTTTTGAGACGGGCATGTTTCCGGGAGGTATGCGACCGCCAATTGTTCCTTGATGTGGCCAATCCCTTTCGTTCACAAAGCTGATCGACATATCTTTTTTCCAGCGTTCTACCTCATCGGCATGTGGTACCGTCGCCACGAAGCTCAGCGCCGCTACTCCTTCTTCTTCAACAGCACCACCCTCGCCGGCGCATTCGGCGGTCTTCTTGCTGCAGCGATCGGAAAGATGAGCGGCGTCCGCGGCTACGCCGGCTGGCGCTGGATCTTTATCCTCGAAGGCCTCCTGACTGTCGTCGTCAGCGTCTTCTTCTTTTTCTGGCTGCCCGACTTTCCAGAGGACGTGAAATGGCTCAGCGAAGACGAGAAGGCCTTTGTGTCGGCACGCTTGCGCGCGGACCAGGGCCGCTCTGCCGTTGAGCGTAAGATCACCTTCCGCGACGTTGGACGCATCTTCAAGGACTATAAGGTCATTGTCGGAGGCTTCATGTACTTTGGTCTCATCGTCCCGGCGTACGGGTATGCCTACTTCGCACCGGGTATCATCCAGACCTACGGATACGACAGCATCCAGACGCAGCTGCACAGCGTGCCACCCTGGGTTGTGGCCTTTGGCTTCTCGATGATCATTGCCTTTATCTCAGACAAGACGCGACACCGGTTCGGATTCGCAATCTTTGCTATTTGTGTGGCAATCGCTGGGTTCGCCATCTTGATTTCTGTTCACAACAACACGTCTGTGCAGTATGCGGCGCTGTTCCTTGTCGCAATGGGCGCGTACACCGCCATGCCAATGTAAGTCCAACCAACGCAATCTGCATGCTCTGTAGATGTGATTGAACTGCGTGCTAACTTAAGCCTTCTAGTATTGTTTGTTGGTTCAACATGAACCTGGGTGGCCACCACCGACGTTCTATCGGCAGTGCTTGGCAGGTTGGTTTCGGTAACATCGGCGGTATCATTGCTGTGTTCGCTTTCCTGAAGAAGGATGCGCCAAAGTACATCCCTGGCTACAGCATCAGTATCGCTTTTGTTATACTCAGCGGCCTTGCATGTTTGGTCTATGCAATTGGCTGTTGGTCTGCAAACAGGCACAGAGATCGCACCGCGGCGGAGTCATCGTTGACGGAAGACGAGAAGATGGAGCTCGGAGATATGTCTCCTGATTACAGGTATCTGCTGTAGTCATCTGTCTCGAGATGAAGTAGGAGTTGCCTTGATGGTTGACCTGCATAATGAAAATAATTCCTCTGCATAAATTACTTATGCTACCCCGCCTTTTCGATGCATCAACATCCGGTCCTAAGTAGGACCTACATGTTATCGCTCACAACAGCCAGCAGTCTTTCGTTAAGTGATTTCGGGTATTGATAGGCCGCAATCACAGAGCAAGCTCTCCAACTACACGACTTTCGTCGTCTTCGAGGCATCTTTGGGCCATGTTGTTGGAGTAGAGTTGAACTGTTGGCCCCTTCTCATTTTGATCTACATCGCATACGTATTCCCTTAAGCGTTGTGCATGTCTATGCAAGGGTGGCTTTCCAATTTCCAACAGCTTTCAATCACCTTCATCACCCATCTCGAGGTGTTGAACACATGCGAAAGCAAGGAACAGTCGCAATCACCAACCAGTCACCAACATATGGGGCATTGTTGGACGTGATCCGCCCGATGGCACACATCCCATTGGGCCATCAGGCGCTCTCCAAGGGGCCGTATGCCGGGGCATTTATCAATTCAGGGGGGCTGCATGCGGCGTAACACTGTTGGTCCAACAAACATGCAGAGTTCCCGTTGGTTTTCGCTTCCGCGCCGCGTCTGCCCGCTTTTTCGCGCCGGTCGCCTCAGATGGTCGTCAATCAAGAATTTCATGCAAAAGGTGCTACTTCCTCGTGCGCGGACTTCAATGCCTGGTTCTCTCAGTATCAACCAGTACACAGAGTCGTCTATGTGTTGTGTGAGTCCGCAACTCACCCCGAATCAGCACGATGCTCCCAGAAGCCCTTGTTAGCGTTTACCAGTCGTACAAGACGGACACGGACTTCATTACTACTTGGCTCGCAACCACGGCACGAGCGTACGGTTGTCCTGCAGAGCTCATCTCAGGGCTTCGAGATTCAAAAGACGACAAATTTGACTCGGCGCCGGAAGATGATAAGCCGACCGGTCAACGCAAGGGCAAGTCAACCAAAGAAGCATCAAAGTCATCGCAGAAGAAACCGCGCAAACGATACATCCTCGCCGTCAAGGATCTCCTACCGCTGGCTCAATTCCTCGCAACATCACAGAAGCCAGCCATCGCCCCTCCGGATAGTCTAACCGCCGCTCTTGATAGAGTGATCGATCTCAGGGCCAAGTTCAGCACTCAGCTGGTTGAGCATGGTGCCACGACCAACGCTCAAGACGACAGCACCCATTTCTACTTCCTCAGGGTCTTGTGTCAAGTACGCCACGTTTTGACAGCTCATCGAACTGCTTCCCCAACCAACACAGCAGCCTCAACTGGCGATGCTGCCGAGAAGGCCCAGCCATCAGCCAACAAGTTTGAAGGACTCCTTGTGTCGGAGCCGTCCGCGCAATTCATCAACGCCCCAGATGCACCTCCACCAACGAGACCAGCAAAGTCGGAGACCGATGCCAACTTCGAGGCCGAGAGCGAGATGTCGAGCTGGGATGCTCAGTTCGTATGGCAGCTGGTTTGGAAAGACCTTCACGGAATGCGTCAGAGAGTCAGGTACATGTGGCAACAATTCCGAGAAGGACGCCACGAGCTCGTGTCCGTTGCATTGGCCACCAACACCGCCATCGACCTTGCCCGTAACATCGTCGAAGATGTCACGCCAGTACTTCAATCTCAGCCAGGGGGCCTGTTCGGGGTCATCTGTCTCTACAATGCCACATTCACAACTACGAAAATCCGCAAATACTCGGAGGGTCTGCTTCGTTTCCCAGAGAAGCCAACAAAGGAGGAGATTGCGTACGTTGCGGGCGTCCTAGACTGCACCAACGCTTACAGCATGCTGCAGCAGCTCCTTCCAAAAGATCAAGGCCCCATCAACCCACCATTAGTCACAAAAGGCAGTCCAAAGATCAGATTAGCAAGGACACATGGCGACTTTGTCATTGACCGGAACGCGGTCTCTGGTGTTCTTTACGATATGTACTTCATCACTCGTTACATCCCAGACTGGCCAGTGGACGATGGCGTCTTGCGAGGGTTCCGAGAAACACTGCGGACGAGGGAAATCCCCTTCTACTTTGCGTATGCAGTCCAACTTCTCATTGACATTCATGGAGTCATGGGACAGAACCTGCCGTCCATTCGAGTACAGTTTATGCGAGGGTTGTCGACACTACAAGAGCTCATGACACAGGCGTGGTACATCCACCAGAGCACAAGAATGGACCCAAAGGCACTCAGATGCTTCCCGCTTCTCCAACAAACGGTAATGAGCATGTCCAAAATGACACGCGACCCCATTCTCGTCGAGAAACAGCGGCTCAAGAAGCCCATCGCAGATCCCTCTCTGGAACGCCTGCGATTGATGAAGACTGACCCCGTCATGGCTGGTCTGGTGATGTATACCTTCCGAGCAGCAACATATCGAGTCGGAATCTGCCTTGCAAACGACACACTATCCGTCATGTCGACCATGCATCTCTACAATGCTTTGTATCAAGAAGGTCTACTCAAGTCCAAGTGGTGGGACATCGAGCTCATTAAGGAATTGGCTGGCAAGTCCCAGTTCTACGTGGGAAACCCCCCAAGCGACCCGACCGGATACATCAAGAGCTTTCTCATGCAAACCGGCCTGAAGAGCGTATACATGAGCCAGCTCAAAAGGTCAAAAACGCAGACGAAGCTCTACAAAGAGCTTAAGAACCGGAGACGGATTTCTGAAGGAGCGACTGTTTCTATGATGTTCTACGAGAGGTACTGCAACGAAAAAGGCGAGACTTCAACAGGAAACTTCACTGCTGAAGACATAGTACGCATCCTTGACCACTGCCCGGAGGGTTTGTGGTTTGATCACCCTCAAGAGGAACCCGAGAGCGAGAGCCAGGACAAAGGCTCTAAGAAGTCGACGCAGAAACGCAAGAAGCCTGCAAAGCCCGTCAAACCTAGCCTACCTCCTTACGATATCATCACCTCCCTTGGAGTTGGGCTCTTGGATGAAGCGGCAGAGTTTGGGTTTCCGTGGCTAGCCATGCATCGCAACGCATGGCACTTGATGCGAAAGATTCGTATGGCCAGCGAACGTACGTTCATGATGTTGGTGCCAGGCTACAGCATGTCTGAAGCCGGGCTGATGACGCTCACCACGTACATCCTGGATGTTTTGGTTCACGCGAGGCCCAATAACTCTCTGGGGAAACGGGTTACTGAGGAAGTGGCGGCTACGTTCAATCATTACCTCACCCATGTTCCGAAAGACCACGGCTGGTCAGCTGGCGAGACGGTATGGAGGGAGATGGAGATTGCCCTTGGCGTTGGACTCCATATGTACGAAAGGGTTGTCGGGAAAGTTACGCAAGGTGGTGAGTCTGAGGAAGCACCACCGCCTGAAATAGTCACAGACACGGCTGTTCCAGTGTGTTGACGTTTGTCTTATTCGATTATGAGAGCTACATGGGTAGATGTTTCTAGTCAAGGTCCGGATGCGATTTTGTATTGTAGGTTTCATTCCTTGTTGGCGGTACCTTTACGTTAGAATTCTCCTTGAAATCTCACTGACATTTGGTCCGAAATGACTGGCTTCTATCGAGAGCTGTACTTGTGTCCCTTCCTTTGTACCATGTATCAAATGACCAATCTCATGATACTTTCATGATACACATAGGCATGATGAACCGAAAGACTTGAACTGTGTGATGTGAGGAGGCAGCTGAATGTTATCTATCCAACTAAAAGTAGACGTCGTCGCGTTCTCACATGAGAGCCGCGCCGTACTTGTTCTGGGAGAATGTTGCCCCGCGCCCCACTACGTCATGAATTATCCCGCAATATCCTTACTCTTTCAACATCATCTTGCTTGGCTTGTCGACTCATCCCGCAACTTATCTCAGCATTCCAATCAGCACAATCATCACTATACTGTTTTACCTTATTCGCCTAGCAGCTCAAGTCTCACAATGTCTCTCACACCAGACCCTAAAATACTGCAACGCTGCGTCGAGCTTGCAAGAGAGGCCCTCGAAGCCGGCGACGATCCCTTCGGCTCCGTGCTCGTGAGCGGAGACGGCAAAATCATTCGCGAAGACCGCAATCGTGTAAACACCGGCGAGAATGGAGACGGGAAACGCGACGGGACACTGCACCCGGAATTCACCCTCGCGCGTTGGGCGCAACTCAACCTTAGCGCCGGGGAACGGGCCAAGGCTTCGGTGTACACTTCCGGCGAACACTGCCCGATGTGCGCTGCGGCCCACGCCTGGGTTGGACTTGGACCCATTGTTTACGTCTCTTCAAGTGCGCAATTTGCTGGTTGGCTCGAGGAATTTGGGTTGAAGGCGGGTGCTAAGGTCAAGACACTTCCTATCAATGATGTTGCGCCGAGTATTGCGGTGCAGGGTCCGATTCCCGGCCTGGACGAGGAAGTCAAAGCTTTGCACAAGAGGAGGTTCCAAAAGTCATCGTAATGAGAACAAGGCTACTCGAGCCTCACAGGATGGATAGTCGAGGCGCATGACACATCACGCAACGGAGATCATCACTCGCGTGGCCGAGAGACGAGGAAGCCGTTTATCGATGCGGCAGTGTAAGTCTCTCAGCGACATAAGAATGATTCTCTTATTGGGACTTTGAATAAGTATATATATGTATGAGCTATCCACTACAATGCAACTTAGGCTTCGGGTAACCGCAAGACTCGTGTTTGTCTGACTAAAGCGCCTTCATCACCTAGGTACCGTCCGCTCTCGTAACTGCGGTGAAGGTCAGTGACTCAGTGATGTGGAAAGTGCTTAAAGATCAGCGAGACACGAACCTCCAATGAAGATTGCCAAGGGCGACATCACGACAGCCATCGAGGTACCGAATGACCTCCTGATCGACCTTCTCTCCGCAGATTGGCATCTTCGATAAAGCCAGATACCAATCGCGATAGCATTCATCGATCATGTCTCCGATCTCGTCAATGGCCTCCTGAGTAGAGTGCCCCTGAGATTTCAACAATGTGATCAAGTTGTGCTGTACACCCTGTTCCTGCAAAGATCATTGTCAACAGCTGGCCGAGAATAGATATCGCACTCGACTTACCAAATCCTTGCGATATGATAGGATGTCATTGACACTGTGCGAGAGTTAGCCAACAACCATCGCCTAACGCCATGCCAACCTACAGAATGACTAGGTCGGCCGAGATTCGTCTGCACTCTTGCAAGCTCTCATGGTCTATGACATTTGGAGGCACACTTATGCCGTGGCAAAATCTGTGAATCGTGCCGTCAGCCCACTGTTGACTCATTTGTCTTCTGGGAAGACACTCACTCAACCAGCACATAAGATGGCTGACATCCGATAGTTCCTCTTCGGAAGCCCATGTACTCCTCGACAGTGAGAGCCATGGCGGACTTGGAGCTTTGAACTCCAACTTGACTCAGCAGGCCGGAGAAGTAGTATCTGATGGAAGCTTTATAACGTTCCTGCAACTCTATGATGGTCGCGTTAGCAAACTGAAGTCATTGGCCTAGATTCTGGAAAGCATAACAATGTTGCAAAGTATTCACTACCCTTCGTAGATCTCTGCAAGTATGAGCGCGACTGTCAGCAATGTACTATTGACAAAAATTGGAGCTACAGCGCGACCATAGTAAAGTTGGACGACATACCTTTTTGAACCGATCCCAGACAGTTTGAAAAACATATCTAATTGGGTTGTCATGAAGCTGGACTGGGGCGTGGTTGTCTTCTAACACCGCAAAAGTGGCATGCAGCTCCTCCACTGCCTTGATAGGGTCATTTTTCAGATGGCCTTCATCAAATTCTGTCAAGAGTCAGCAGGCTCAGGTGAAGTCGTGTTGTCATGGTTTACTTACGGTCATCAAATGCAAATACCTTACATTGAAATCAGCTCAATTCTATCCAACCAAATTATCCCTCATTGAAGTATGACGTACCCAATTGTTCCAATCGATCATCGTTCGATATGCCTCTTCATCCGCGTATGGGACCCACATCGCATTCATGAACGCGAAGTTAGCTTGAACGTTTCTTCGGGCTTGAGCTTCACTGAGACTGAGGATCCTGTGACCATTCCATGTTAGTGTTACTCCGGAAATGGTCCTCTTCAAGAGTTTTACTAACGTTGCAATCCAACTGTCTGCCTCTCTTTTCACTTTATCGTAATTGACGTTGATGACGGGCTTCACAGACATAATCGAAGAGAAGAAGTCTGGAATACGGACATAGTTGACATTTACTTCGTCAGAGTTGATGCCAATACGCGATCGTATGTCCGACGTGCTTCCCGCTTCCGAAGAGACAGTGAAAGCCTGAGATGAAGAAAGTGAGTCTGTGAAAGTCGAAAACGAAGAGACTGGGGAGCCTGGCGACATCGTTGACTCTCCATCGTCTTCAATGTCGAAGTGGATTGGATCCATTTGACTCTTTTCGGGCATGTTGGGTACGCCGTCAGAGCCGTTTCCAACGCCCATTTGCGGGCTTCCGAAGAGGAAAGACTCTGAAGAGATCATGCTCGCTTCAACAAAAAAAGCCTTAGGAGTGTGTGTTGTAATCAGGTTTGAAGAAGGCTTGAGAGACTGAAGATGGAGTGAAATGGACAACGATGAAGGACGGAACACGCTGCTTTTCAGTTCAACCACGGATATCCACACTGTTCGCCCGGTTGGTTCATCAGTTCAAGCGACAGTTGAGAATTCCCGACATCATCCTCCGACCTTTCGCATCGTGACGACTTGGCTATGGGTCTTCAAGACTTGTCGTGCCGTATCGCTGCCCGGTTCTACGAGGGTTGTCTACCCCGGTTCCTGTTGCCTCCACAGTCCAACACCCACCACACCAAAAGATACTTGCGACTGTGCCGCAAGACTTCAGTCCGGTCAGACAAGAACGTTCGTTTACGTCAAGGAAGGATTCGTCATCCTCGCCGTCCGTATCGGCAACTCCGTTAGTGGGAAGCCTCTCGTGAGAGTCTACTGTCTCGGGCTTGTCCAGTTGTTATGATTTAGATCAGCTTCGAGTTGAGCAAACATGTCTCAGCTTCTGCAGAGTTGCCTCTTCTTGGAATGATTTCTATACTGGTTTGATTTACACAAAAAGGAAGTTTTGACTTGTTCAATGCTTCGATTCAGTAAGAAAGATGCGAATCGAGGAACACTTGACCTAGAAACTGGGCTTTTTCATAGAAGAGCAAGTAATGCCGATGAGGGTCCGCGAATGAAAGCTCAACATCATTGAATACGGGTACTTTAGGAGCTTCGAAAATTCTCATGTTGGAACGGCCCATGCTTCACATGTCTTTCTAACCGAGGGTTGTGTACGAGCTTACGAAACATTCAACTGTGAGTTATCCAAGGTGGCTCTATCCCGCCGGCAAGAGAACTGATGGATGTCTCAGACGAAGAGATAGCCTGTACAGCCATACATGGTATGAGTTCTTACGGAAGTCAAGTCTCCCAATCAACGCATTTCAAGTTAACTAGCCTTTGGAGCACGAAATGATGTCTGGCCCTGCTTCTGATTCGAATAGTTGCTGCCCAAAGAAGTTTAGATTTCCATGCCTGTACATATGGATTGTCATGACATGCCAAGTGGAACATACATTACATCGAATCTCGTCTTTTGGCCCTTGTCGATGCTCGCAAAGTCCCCATATCATCGCATCATCACTCGCAGACGTTCAACGACCGGCCTGTACAACGAGTCTGTAAGTCACCGGAGTTATGGTTCTTCAACTTGAACCCCTGTTCAATTCCCAGGTACCAGGAGCTGAATCCATCAACTTGGCGTTGGTTCAACTAGTCATGACCCGCTTCCCAGTCAAGACAGTAGACAGGGGCTTTATCGGCCTTCTTCCGCGCTGGGAAAAGCGATCATCTTCGACGAAAAGTCAAACGCCACAGGCAGAAAACTCCACAGGTGTTTGCTTTGTGGCGTCAGCTGAAGTAGGTTTACATGGGTGTTCAACTAGTCGATACTGATTAGAGTGAATCCCCGAACATCCCGACTGGGTACTGGATATTGCGGATAATCGGCCCACACCAGATTGGACGTATTGTTTGCTTGCTAAATGTGACACGCACCCAATCATTCTCATACACGTTGCCATCCCTCCGGATTCCTTGATAGATATGCATTGCAGAGCGGTTGAATCGTCTTGCAACATAGCTTCGCCCTACGGGAATTGGGTGAGCTTTCCAATGATCGTTGGGTACATGACCCGTGCCAGATGGAGTTCGCTAAGTTGACAAACATTGCTTGGACTGCTACGCCGCGTGACCGCCTCCGCGTGACAGGGGGCGCATAAATCTGGCAGCAAACAATGGTGATCTTCCTTTCGTTTCGTTGTTGGACATCTACAGACTACGCGATCCAGAAGCTCATCATCGTCAAACTGACACATGGTGGCAGAAACAACATCTCAAGTCTGTCTTACCCAGAACTCACCAGAATCAAGGGCGATAATAGGGCTATGCCCTCAAGATCCATCAGAAGATAAGGAAACTTCGAGATACTCTTTGACTTAAGAAACAAGTCTCGCACCATCATCTGGATCGTGCTCGAAAGGAGTCTTCAAGGACCAACCTAGTTGAGCCATCTAGATTTCTTTAATTGCCACAATGGCTCTACTTCAACTGCGCGAGATCCTTTTCTCGCCAAGAATTCTTGCCCTGTGCTTTTCTGTATACCTCATAGTTGGTGTTTTCTACAGAATCTTCTTCCACCCCCTTAGGAAGATCCCTGGTCCTTGGTATGCGGCAGCAACATACTGGTACGAATTTTACCAAGATGTGATTCTCAATGGCAACTACATCAAGGAGTACCCTGATCTTCACGCCAAGTATGGTCAGTAAATCTCAGAGATCTACGCAGGCGTTCCTGGTTGTGTTGTTTCCATACTGATCAGTAATGCACTGTTTAGGCCCAGTGGTTCGGGTGTCTCCCAGTCGCGTGCACGTTAGTGATCCAGATTACTTCAAAGAGTGAGTTAAGCTCCACCTACAGTATAACGTCTTCGAGGCGGACTATGCTGACTCACTTTATCAGGGCTTACGGAAGTGGCACGAAATATATCAAGGATCCCGACTTCTTCCAGAGCGCTGGTGGTATCAAGCACTCCATCATCATGTTGATTGATCCCGAGGTTCACAAAGAACGAAAGAATACGGTCCAGTCCCTCTTCTCGACCAAGCATGTTGAACACCTAGCGCCCGTCGTTCTGGATGTTGTGCAGAGAGCAATGGCAAAGGCACAGCGTGCCTTCAAGAATGACCAGCCGATTAACTTGCAACCGTTTTTCCAATGCATTACTGTAGGTTGTTCCTCAGTCCAGCTACATGATCGCAACATCGAGTTTCAGGGTGTTATCTGCGGTCTACTGGGACTAGGATGTTCAGTGCTAACCAGGTTCTAGGTTGACACTATTATGCCTGTCTTGTTTGATAGACAGTTGAATTTTGTTGATTCCGACGAAGACGAGCCGCCGTTTTTGAGCTTATTGGGCAAGTTTGTTGACAAGTTCTTCCTCACTAAGCACTTTCCCATGATCAGCCACATTGCTATGAGTTTACCTCTCAGTGTAGCAAGGACGGTTTTGCCAAGTTATGTCGCTTTTCGAGAGGTAAGTACAATCATTCCAGTTTCTTCTTTACCGTCAAATCTCAATATCTCTTGCTGACATTTAGGTAGCAATGCGCCACGTGGATCAAGGAAGACGAAGAGAAGCAGCGCGACGGCAAAAGGATAGCTGATGGTCGTAAGACATATTTTGATCTCCTTCTGGAAGCAGAGAAAACGGAGAGGCTCCACAAGCTCGGCCAAGAGGCACTCGTTGACGAAGCACTGTCTGTGTGTTTTGGCGGAACTGATACCAACAGCATTGCCCTTAGCTTTGGCACATACTTCTTGCTCAGAAACCCGGATAAGCTTCAGAAGATGTTGGACGAGTTGAAAGGCGCACCTACGAATATGGATGGCCTCTATGAGTATCATACTGTTTCTAAGCTGCCTTATCTTGTAAGTCGAAGTTGATTTGGAAGGAATTTTCAACGCAGCATACTTATTGTCCATGTTTCCAGACTGCTGTCATCAAAGAGATACTCCGGTTGGGATCTCCAGTGCCTGGTATCATTCCCCGCAGAGTCCCTGCCGGCGGCGCTTCCGTCGGAGGACATTATCTTCCGGAAGGCGTAAGTCACAGACCAGACTAGCTATGCGGTGTGCAAAATCACTGACTCTGCGTTTCTTCAAGACCACCGTTTCACAGGCTCTTCGTTTGATAAACGTCAACTCGTACATCTACTCGGAATCTGAGAGATTCATTCCTGAAAGGTGGCTTGGCAAAGCCGGCTGGGAACTGGAGAAGTACTTTGTGCCTTTCAGCAAAGGCCCCCGAGCTTGTATAGGTGTGAAGTAAGTTCACATACTCTCCACCTCACGAGTGAGAACACGAGCCTAACGTATACAGCATTGCATATCTTGAACTCTACGTGTGCTTTGCAAACCTTTTCAGCCACTTTGAGATGGAGCTATTCGACACGAACGAGAGCACCCTTAAGTGGGTAGACAATGGCGTGACAAGGCTGTTGAAGCCAATGAAAGTCAAGATCAAGTCGATTAGAGGCATTAGTCAGTGATGCATGGTCGGCAACTGCGATTGCATAGATAACTCAAATACACGTGCTTGGCATTAGACCCTAAACGCATTCCCACCCATCCGGCTTCTTGGGATCTCCTTGTCCCTTGAACACGTTTCGTGTGGGATATTTACAATGCTTCCTCTGCAGATCGACCTCCCCGGAGGCCGTCAAGCGGCTACCAAGAATGAAATTGGGTGCAACACCCTCCTCAACCCAGCGTACAATCGCCGCCAGTACGTTGGCATCTGGGTCGTAGGAGGCGAAAGTCTCTGGGTTGCCACCGATCATGCTAGCTCCAGTGCCATCGCGACAGTGCGCCATGCCAGAGACCCTGAAATACCGATAGAATTCATCCAACTCCTTCGAAGGGAGGTTCATGGTTCGTGATACATGGTTGTAGTACCTCTCAGAGTTATCACTGCTGATCGCATTGTCTTGCATGCCGTGATAATGCAGCACTTTGACTCCACGATCTTTGGCAGCGGATAAGTCTCCTTCCCACGTGGACACCTTCCACGGGTCTTGCTTAGAAGCAACAGCATAATCCTCTGGGGTCATTGTAGAAAGGTCCCAGTTTGTATCGTTGTATACAACAAAGCGCCACCAGTCCAAGGGGTATTGATGGGGTTGGCCGTTGAGAAGTCGTGCAGTCGCGTTGGAACCTGGCTGTAGTCTGGGGAAGATGTATTGCCCATCCAAGCCGTAGACTGGAGAAAATATGGCCCGCACAGTAGCGGCTTGCTCTCCGCTCAGACAGCTATCGGAAGAGCCGTCGGCGCAGATGAGTCCTTCAGGTCGGTATTGACACAAGCTCGGGTCTTCGAGGATGCCGTCTTCAAGACCGTCTAATCCGTCACACTGCTTCAAAATATCGGCATACACCAGCTCCCACTCCGCGGGAGAGAGAAATCGTGAAGTCTCATTGGTCCCTGTCTTGAGGAAAAGTTGGCCGGTCCAGTACATGAGTGCAATCAGATCGAAAGCAGGAGCACCGGCAACGATGCCGTCGTAGTCTTCCGGAAAGCTCTGGGCCTCCTTAAACCCCTGTCTACCGCCTGTGGAGCAGCCCAGATAGTATGACTTGGTGTGCTCTTTGCTGTAGTATTGCTGCGCAATCTCTTTGCCCAACTGGGCTTCAAGGTGCACGGCGCGGTAGACGTAATCCTCAATCACTCCGGGGTTATTGAGGAACGGAGCACCAGACGTTCCGTCGTGGCCATTGTTGGTGCCAATTGTGGCAAATTGGTGTGTGGCCCCGTAGTTGAGGTCGCCGTATTTGATGCATCCATTCATACCGCCATTACCAGTGCCCAAGAAACGCCCACTCCATTCTGATGGAAGCCAAGCCTCAAGGGAGATGTTGCTTGTCGGACCGGTAGTAGTGACAAAGACAACCCGACAGATATCAACGCTGGAAACTTGAAAGGGGATGGCGCATGACGGATGGTTGTCAGGGAGCGAAATGTTTGTCCCTGCTGTGATGAATGTTGTCTCGTGGATTGTCGTATTAGGAAGACTAAGACGGCTCGCAAACGATGCGCAGTCCTCGGGAGTGACAGCTCGGGCTGACCCAGCCGCCAACAGAAGTTGAAGGATTGAATAACGAGAACCTCTCATGGTTGCGAATACTGATCCGACAATGTCTACACTCCATGTCGGCACATAGAGGGTAACTTGAAGTATTATTTATTGCCATCTACTTGATGTGCCTTAAAGAGTATTACTCACCATAACGCTCTGCGCAACTACCGTGAACTGCTACCGCGCTTATCCGCAGTCCTTGAGAGAATCCGCTCTCGTGCTTGTAGCCAGTCTCCTGGGTCAAAATCCCCGCAGACGGATAAAGATCGGTTGGCGGTCACGGCTGTGTAGTCTCTGCAGAGCTGCCAGATTGACGTGGGATGGGGATAACGGAGCAATAGAGTCGATCACCTGCCGTACCAGGCTAAGGATAGTCCGGGGTAGCTTGACAGCTGGTGGGGAAGAGTTGCTTCTTCAGAGGGGCTGTTACCGCTTGTTCGAATTAGAGACGCGGGGTAACCAGCCATTTCCCTGCAAAACGACAGCCGGATTCTTGTCTTCTAGTCAGTAGGTCAGCGCAATTGACCGGTTACTGACTCTTTTCGGTGATCAAATACCTCTTATTACTCTTGTCATGATGTCTGGTCTACTCCGGTAAACCTCGGGCATCGTGAATCTCTCGGGCCTGGCCCGCTTAGCTGTTGATTCCGCGGAGGACTCGCGGACTCCGTCTGCTTACCAACTTGAGTACGATCGTGCCGGCACAAAGACGTAGGGATTGAGTCACCCCGGATTGTTTCTCGGCAATCCAGCATTGACCGTGATTTTGAGCCTGTTCAAGATTCCTAGACTTCGATACCTAGCTAGTTTCTGTTGCTGTTCCGTTCAGTTCAACATTCCAACCCGTCTTATTCCCCGTTCCTTGCAAGCCCTCTTCAAACTTTTCCTCGTTCCACGCGTCGTAGGTGCCTCCAGCTTCCTCTTCAAGTTCCCAGATTCGCATGGACACTCTACATCGCCGTCGTCTTCAGAAGAAGCAGACCCGTCGTCACCCTCATAATCACCATCTCTGCAGTCATCGTCAGTCGGGTAATCAGTGTGGTAGTCCGCCTCGTCAGCATTGGTGTCCCCCTCGGTAGCATCCACCAAGAACTCCAATTTCCTCCAAGGCGTTTCCAGAGCTGTGCAATCCTGACACCTGAAGTCCGGCTGGTTCTCTCTCAGATATGTTTTATCGCAAGCAAGTCGCGGAACCCGCGCATTGACGTATTTGCATTTCGTCAGCTTGCGGTCGAATGTACAGCCGCAGCTGGAGCATTCGTTGTCGTACCAGACGAAATGACACATGATGGGTGACTGAAGCGATGCGTTCAGGTAGTTGGAAGATGCTTTGAAACGGCTTGGTTGATTGATAATTGAACTGAGTCTTGAAACTGAATTTGGGGACTTTTTTGCTGGCTACTGCAAGGTGGTGTGTAGAAAATTAGTAAACGCAGCATCAAGTGCGGTCAGTCGCATATAAATTCCTTTCCCTGTTCTCCCTACTGAGAAATTCCACTGAATCGCATCCATTTGTTTCACTCAAGGTGAATGACGACCTCCATTCAAGGTCCGGTGGCTTAGGTTCTTTGACGTGATTGTGCCTTCTTTCATCTCAAAGGAGCCTAACAGTTGGCTAGAGCCTGACTCCCATTCACTTTCCCCGTCGGGGAGAAAGCCACCGCCTGCGCCGATATAAATAGCATCGCTTTCTTCAGCCCTCGACTACCTTATGGTTTTGATCATCGGCAAGAGTTCCAAAGACTAAGACAACAATCAATTGTTTCGCGCCTCTCAATCCTGAGAATCCGAGGGTGTAAACAATCTCGATGATTACAACAGCTCTTTCACAAAAGGCTTCTAAGAAGCCACATTATTTTGACTACTATCTCAAAAAGAGAGAAGAATACGCTTCTAGCAAAAGATTCATCTACAACCAACAACCATGTGTCGCCAATTTCAGCACAACCTCCTCTGCACCAACTGCGGCCTCGCCTACAGAACCATCCTCGGCGAATTCCAGCAATGCCAGTGGTATCACCGTCAGCGCTGTGAAACGACGACAGTGCCTGCCGGTCCCATTCGAACTGGCCTTTGCCATCAGTGCAGGCCTTCGGTACGCCAAAGACATAACCCTCGATGTCAAGACATCTGCTGCTCTGGGCGTGAACGGAGGCGCGGGCTAAGGTAGACGAGTGATTTACAGAGTACGCTGAAATAGATTCCGGGACATGTTCAGGCGTCATGGGAACAGAGTGCTACAATCGATTATTTTGCTATTCAACTGAAATAAACCATTGAACTTTCGATGTCGTGTTTTCATCAGTCATAATATCGTGGCAATCTCGAGTCGTTGACGACAGGCCGCCAAATACTCCACACATCCTTTCATCTTCTTCTTCTTCCCCCCAACATTTCCTCGGCGCTACGGGAATACTCATCAATCACAACGCCCGAATCGTCATCGTCATAAACCTCACGTTGCGGGTACAACCACCCAACATCACTCAGAATCTGCTCCAGCCTCGTCGCCTGCTCGTCTTTGTACGCCACTCTTCTGCCCGACTCGAGAAAGTAATTCAGCTCGTCCCGCAACCTGTAGGGCGACGTCTCGATATGCCAAACCCATTCTTCAAAGTCTCGCCTCGGTTCTGTGAACATTGGCTCCCAAGGCTGTATTCGTTTGTACACTGCGGGTGCCAGCGGTAGGTAAGGGCTCCAAGCCCGACGTCGGAATTCCAGGTACCCGAAAGCATGGAGTACGGCGAGCGAAAGAGTTGTGTCCTCTGACTCTGGCTCAACCTGGAAATACGTTGTGAGGCTCTCCTCCACTACGCGAGGACTTTCTGTGACAATGAAGTCGTTCTTCAAAAGTTCCATGATTTTGTTGACGGGCTCGGAGTTGAGGTCGATGATACTGCGGTCTTTGATAACAGGGACATCAACCATTTCGTGCTGCAGCCTCGCCTCGTCGACGCACTTCATGCCAACCCTGAGACCGCAAAGCCGGCAAAACGAGACCTGCTCCTGCTCGTCTTCGTCGCAAAGATCACAGTTGGCCATGCAGAACACCGTCTCGAGACACTGCCCCTCCTCTCTCGTGACCCATACATCGACTATCAAAGCCTGGAACAAACGAATGGCCTCCTCGTCATATTCCCGTCTCTCGAGGAGAACGACGGCGATGTCTCGCATGAGATGCTTGTGCTGAGCAAACGTGCGAGTTTCGATGTCCGTCAATTCCGCAATGTAGCGCTTTAAGTAAACGTCAATGACTTTTGTCGCCTCACTGCTCAGGCCCCTGTGCGGCAAATTGATCGCCATGTCTAAAGGCGTATGCATATCGCTGTCCTTGACATCAAGCATCCGTTGGAAGTGGTCGACGCCAGTCTCGGCTTTCAACTTCTCGCACGCGGAGTATACTAGCGTGGCCATTTCAGAAGCTTGCTGATGGTGGTATGATCCGTCGGTATGCAGCACATTGTCGCCGTAATAGTCAACGTTCTCGATAAAAGACGCTAGCTGAGGATGTTCGAGCAGCACCTCAATCACCTTGACACACTCGTACAAGGAGGCAACCCGCAGCGCCGACCTCCACGTAGTGGAAGTATCTCCAGGCCACTTCTGGCCCTTTGCCGGATCCGCGCCCTTGTCGAGCAAAAGCCGGACAGTCGGGACGTCTCCGGCCCTGCAGGCCTCTCCGAGCACCGTGAACCCGGTTGAGCTGACGACATCATCAATGCCGAGGCCGTTTTGGAGCAGCAGATCGATGATCTTGTAGGCCGCCCCGTTGTCCTCGGAAACTGTGCTACAGACACATGATGCTCCCATTGAGCATCGTGCTGTGATGTCGGCGCCTTTGTCCAGAAGAAAGTGGACCAGTTGGAGGTTGCCATCTTCGCAGGCTACCATAAGAGGAGTTTTGCCGTCATAAGAGGGGACTTCCAGTGCCTCTGGCGACATTTCGTAGAGCAATTGCGCAATTTCTAGCCTTCCCGATTCGCAGGCCAACCAAAGCGGTGTTTCCTGCCAATGGCATGAGGCCAGGCTGGGTTGAGCACCCGCATCGAGGAGACACCGCACAATCTCAATGTGTCCGTCTCTGGCAGCGATGTGAAGAGGTGTCTCGTAGACTAGTCCTTCTTCGCACTGGTAGGTCACCAGGGCTGGCTCGTGTTCGATAAGAACTTTGGCAGTCTCAATGTTGTTTTCTTCCACGGCCCGGTGGAGGGGAGTGGTGAGGCACCCGGGGATGTAGGACAAGAAACGTTTCGTGTCAGCACCGTGGGCGAGAAGCAACCGCGTGACCTCCGGCTCCATATCGCTCGCCTCGATGAGGATATGCTGGAAGTCTGGGTTGTCCGGGACGTAGTTGATGCTTGGTGGTAAAGGATTCTCGAGTAAAGCTTTGATCATCCCCATAGCGATGTCTTCGTCGTCGAGCATGGCGGCGTCCAGAGGACCTGGCAGTCCGTAGGCTTCTTCGAGGGTTGGGTCCGCTCCGTGCCGCAGGAGGAGTTCTACCATGTTTTGGTCCTTGTAGTCTACGGCCACCATTAATGGGGACTTGGCGTACTTTTTCGACTTCCAATTCAACGTATTGATGGGCGACTGGTAGGCGAGGAGCAGCTCGACTATGTCGGTGTTGCCCGTGCTGATATCAACCTCGCTTTCTTCCACACTAGAATTTTCCCAGTCAGCTTGCTGTTCAAGGAGTGATATAGGCTTAACAAGAAAGCACTGTACGAGCCATCGAGAGGGTCCAGAACCCAACGTACCTTTCCTTGTTTTTCGTCGTCCTCGCCATTTCAACCGCTATCAAAAGGGGCGTCTGGTCAAGCGATGCAGGGTGACGACATGGACTTGCCCCAGCTTCCAACAGTAGCTCTACCGCCTTGAAGTTATCGTCAACGATGGCAAAGCTTAGCGCAGTCCGGCGGATAAACTTCTTTCGATCGCCCGAAATACCGTTGGAGAGAAGCTCTAGGTCGACATCAGGTCGTCTCAGAAGATGCGGTAGCCAATCGTTGCCCAGCGGGCCTGTCAACAAATGAATTGCAGCGTATCCCATGCCATCTAGCTGATTGATATCTTCAACTCTGTCCAAGAGGAGCATGAAGATGTCGAAGTTTTGTTCGGTGATGGCAGCTGTTAAGGGTAACTGAAGGTTCGGCCATGGGAAATGCAAGCTCAGATCGACACCGTAGTCAATCAAGAGTCTGGCAACCTCATTGTGATGTTGCATGATTGCTTCGCGGAGGGGATGCATGATTGGCGGGTGTATGCTTAACATGTCAGGCCTGGCTCCCGCTCGGAGGAGCAGCTCGACCATGGCAGCATCTCCTACACTGCAAGGGTTGACTAGGGGCGTTTCGCCCCATTTATCCGAGATATTCGGATCAGCCCCGGCATCAAGGAGTGATGTGACCAATCGTGCCATCAGGCCTTCGTCGCGCGTTCTCAGGTGCGTGCATAATATCATCAAAGCGGTATCGCCCCTCACCGAGCCTCGCTCGTTAACGTCTTTGGTCCGCTTCAGGAAGTATTTGACCATGTCGAGTTGTCCCTCTGCTGAGCCTGCCGCATGCATCAGAGGAGTATGGCCGAAGAAGTTGTGTACCGAGAAACAAGAGTCGGGCCTCCAATATTCAATGAGCCTGGCAATTCCAGGGGTTTGTTTACGCTCGTACAAGTACCGCCATGTCTGTCTGAGAAGCTCATTCTTCCAAGACCACGCCTCTCCTCTCCCTGCCCACTGAATTTCGTGGGTCAGATGGCCAATATTAGCATCAATGAATGTGAACACGGGAGAGACGAAGGTGTCATCTATCACCATCCGATGATGTGTAAATTCAATGTTCCAGGAGTAATGCGCTGACCAGGTTCTGTAGTTCGCAGAGTTGACGAAATCGCCCAGCAGGGGGAGCAGTCTGACCATCTTGTCGCCCGCACGACGGAGATGTTCTCTCCAGTTGTTTGCCGCATATGAGAAGAACGGGTGACGCACTGAGATGTTGGGAGGCATGATCGACTTGAAGCTTCTAAAGTCAGATCCGAAGAGGTACTTTATACACAGGAATGCCATGTTTGCGTGCTGCTCTTTCTCGCTGAGGTAGTAACGTCTGACGTGGTAGATCAGAGAAGGATGACTGATTCTGAAATCCTCTTCATCCAAAGAATTAATGAGTCTGGGGCACCGTTGTCTCAAGAAGTTGGGGAGGTCGAGGAATCTCAAGTTGGGGTCTCCGTGAAGACAGGCGATTGCATCGCATATTTCGGCTCTGGTGGGTATACCGAGATAGCCGAGTACGATTTGCACAGCTGACAGAGCATATTTCCCATCCTCGTCGATGGTCTGAAACAATGGTAGGAGATCTCTGTCGTAGTATTTCCCCAGGCTAGAAGGGCACGGGAACACTCTTCCACTGAAGGAGAATCCCTCGCCATCTTCGGTCGTACTCATTGCGTCTTCGATGGAGTATTTTGCGAACCAAAAGAACGACTCCGATTTATTCTTGATCCAAGATCGGATCCCTTCTGGCGGCCCGTTCAGATCCCGAAGCGTGGACAGGATGTCCAACTCCCTGTCCACGTAAGTGCCGATGTCTTTGCGAATTGCAGAATCAGTCATCTGGATCCTAGCGGAGTTGGGTACGCAGGAGTTCAGATTCAAAATCTCGCAAGCGCTATACGTGAATAAGAACTTGAACCTGACAGTTTCGCGCGGATAACCTTGTCCTGGAAGAGAAGGGCCGGTAGCTGGGGACGAGCGAGCCACCGGGTGGTCAAGGAGACTTCCCACAAGGCGGAGGAACTCCCGGGCATAGGTAACATCACAGTCATCCAGACCATCCACGATGAGGAAAACAGCCGTAGTCTTCAGCGGGCCCGTACTATATTGCATCTGGCTCATGATGTCGCGTAGGATGTCAAACAGTGCCGGCAGCTCGAAGTGGCTTCTCAGCTTCTGCCATTTATAGTAAGGCGCTATAGACTCAGACCAGACTGGCCGCAGTTGAATAAGCGATCGGACGAAGTACTGGGCGATTGGTGGCTTCTTGTTCCCAACAGTGCTGACGTTGCAAAAGAACGAGAGCACTATATTGTTATCTGGAGGAGATCGAGGCCGGTCCCAGGACAGGTGGTTGGCGATGGACTTGGCCAAGTGAGTTTTGCCGCATCCCGTGGCGCCCTGGACAAAAAGGCCTGCGGTCTTGTTGGACTTGACCCAGCTTTTGAAGAAGTCGTGGGACTGTATCCAGGTACAAGTATCTGGTGTCGGATGTATATCGTGTCCGAGATGATGCTCGTCCCATCGGCCGAGTTTGTTGACGAGGATGTCTCGGTGCCTTTTTTTGTCGGCTAAATGTAGATTAGATCACAGATTTCTCTTCGAGAGAACATTTTATTGGGATGAGAAGAGGTCATGCTTACCAGCTTCTTTCTTCTTGGCCCACAAACTAAATGCCTCGTTGGCCTGATCTCGCGGTGGTGGGCCCATGGGAATCCCACTTCGTGGTGGCGGCGGCAGAGACACTGGGGGTCCTATGAAATAACCTTCAGTTTCTATTTACTCAACTGATTCTCATGAGTCGTCGTTACCTGGCGGGCCCGGCGGGCCTGGAGGCCCAGGAGGCCCAGGAGGTGGTGAAGGGGGCGGGGGATTAGCTGTCGTGGGTGCCAAAGGGGGTGGCGGCACGAAGAACACTCGTTTGTTGGTTGAAGACGATAGCTTTGTCATCATATCGCCAACCTGATCTGCCAACAGGCTGTATATCTTATCTGAGGGGGATGGGAACTGCGTTAACTGGAAGTGATGGCAAGCTACCAGCGAGTTCTGGCCCTGTGTTGGATCCATATCGGCCCGTCGTTTGGGCACAAGCTAGTCCACTGATGAGTTTTTGGTCCGCAAGTGCCATGGAAAAGAAGAAGGCTCCCTCACCAAAGTCTTGTAGGTTGTACCATCTTCAGACGTAATTTCAACTCGACGCGTGGCAATGAAGTTGAGAATTGTCAAGTCTAATGGCGCCTGTGTGAGAAAAGTCTTGTTGACTTCTCGAACAGCTTCCGCAAATTGTCTGACATCGTCAACGGACGGTCTTGTGGAGTGCTTCAGTAGAGTCGCTGCCACTGTTGATTTAACAGCTTCCAGGACTCCCTCGGAGTCTGTTGCATGGTGAACTGTATCGAGAAAGACGACGCCGACAGTGGACCCTTTGACAGCGAAGTATTCTAGATAGTTGGAAGATAGCTCAATTGCCTGCAGTCGATTGGTGTTGAGCTATGAAGTCTATTGAAGAGAGCAGCTAACAACATACCTTTTTCACAATGATTCCTCCAAGCCCGTGAGCAATGAAAACAGTAGAGCCGCCCTAGGAACACTCGCATAAGTTCCATACGTCCAATCAAGCGTTGTTGATCGATTTTACTGACAGGATATTTGCTGTAGTTGGATATCATCGATATCAACAGCTCGTCGGCATGGAGCGCGATGCTCGCAGGCGTCATGTTTGCCGCCGGGTCCGAATTGTATCCATAGGTCCAAACACGGACTGAATCCTTGAAGCTCCCGAGAAAGTCGGGGTCTGAGATCCAGGTTTTGCCAGATTCATCATGGTGCCAGCTTGACTTGGGGGACCCGCCCAAGTCATGGACACATATGAGACTGCAGTGTGTAAGCTTGATTAAGATCTTTAGAGGGTTCTACGAATTCTCACTTCACGAGAGGTCTCCATCCTGGCGGCACATGGTTCATGTGGATTGGGTAAACAACGTCGAGGCTGGGGATGATCATGGCGAAGGCACAGTGGGTGAAGAGCCACGGGTGGCGCGATCGCGATAGTTCCTCGCCTCCTCAGTGTCCCCGGCAGCTGGTTACGGGTGAGGTTGACGCGCTGATTTCGTTGAGAACTGTCGATTGCTACATAGACGCATGGCAGAAAGTATCACACCGCCCACATCAGGCTGCGACACTTAAGATGAGGCCATGATGATGACCACAGGCCGTGGTCTCTAGGCGGCAACCTCATGTGAGGAGATGTTGCTGTTAGGGCTGAGCGATTGGACGTGACGCTAGCGGGCTGCAGGCGTAGCGGGGGTGAATTCGCTTCTGGCCCCCAACTTGGATCAGGCTTCCTAATGGCTGACATGCATTGCCAGCGCAGCCTCTGCTGACATTTTCATCGTGTGCGGCTGAGGCCTGTTTGTCCGACTCTAGGGTTGTTGTGAGAGGCTCTTGTCAGCCGGTTTAAATGGTTGAGAGGTCAAGGTGTTGCATTTGGTGTCACTGCCGGGTTAATTGCAACAAGTCCCATTATTTGGCTTTGCCGGGCTGTCATTAATATGTCTGCATTTATTCTTGTTCTGGATTCGAGACCGAATTGTACGATTGCGGATAATTGAGTAGCTATTCCTGTATGAACTGAAATCAGCAAATACGCAGCGGTGCAACAACATTTTTTTCAAGATCCAATTCATCAGAATCAATCAACCAACTCCTGATGCGGATCAGTCAAGCATGCCCATCGTGTAAGCCTGCCTTAGTCTGACTTACAGGAAACGCAGGATCAAAAGAACAAGTTCCGAGACGAGTGGAGCAAGCCCGTGAAAGCCGACCTTTGCAAAGCATGATGGAGCTTTGAGACGAGGTTGATAGATCTTGACATCCGATTCAGGGCCCAAGGTCGTTGGCGTTGGGTGTTGAAGGAGGTAGAAATGATGGAAATACCTTCGAGACCGCCAGTCGAGCCCAGCTGGCAGCACTGTCAGTCAATTAAACGCGTGGTGGGGCCGCGCGAGGGAAGGCGCGTCATGACCTCAGCGAAGAAAGTGCAGGCGCGTCAACGTCGTGCTCGACCCTTCCTTTCCTGCCAGCCCCCGGCCGTCATCCCCCACCAATTCTCTACTGCTGCCTTTGCTGCATTCTTTCTTCAACCCTTTACGCAACGGACAAGTCACTATATTTGTGCTGCCACTCGAAACGCTCTTCGATCCCACGACTGATCAAACAAATCTTCTCGTCATATTAACCAAAGTGCCCAGCGGCAGTTCGGCGAAATGGGTATCAAGCATCTCTTCCAGATCATCAAGGAGGAGGCTCCCGATGCGATCAAGGAGGGAGAGATCAAGGCGCACTTTGGTCGCAAAGTTGCCATCGTGAGTCCATCCCAATCACCAAGTCATTCCGACGCCCACTAACTGAGAGCAGGATGCGTAGGGTCGCCATCGAAACCCTATAGCTCGCGCTTGCTAACAGAACCCCAGGTCCATGAGCATTTACTCCTTCCTCATCGCCGTCCGATCCGATGGCCAACAGCTCATGAACGAGAGCGGAGAGACAACATCACATCTCATGGGTCTCTTCTACCGTACACTCCGAATGGTCGACAACGGAATCAAGCCCCTATATGTCTTCGATGGTGCCCCGCCTAAGCTCAAGTCTGGCGAGCTCGCCAAGCGATTCCAGAGAAAGCAGGAGGCTACCGAGGGTCTCGAAGAGGCTAAGGAGACTGGTACCGCTGAGGAGGTTGAGAAGTTCTCCCGGAGAACAGTGCGGGTGACCCGTGAGCACAATGAGGACTGCCGGAAGCTTCTGAAGCTCATGGGCATCCCCTTCATCATTGCGCCCACTGAGGCTGAGGCTCAGTGTGCTGTCCTTGCTCGTGCAGGCAAGGTATATGCCGCCGCCAGTGAGGATATGGACACTCTCACTTTTGATACCCCGATCCTACTCCGTCACTTGACGTTCAGCGAGCAGCGCAAGGAGCCCATCCAGGAGGTTCACATTGAGAAGGTGCTAGAAGGCCTTGGCATGGAGCGGAAGCAGGTATGTCTCTCCTGGATGACGATTCTACGAGGGTGAGCACGTCGTAACTTATGATACGAACAGTTTGTCGACTTGTGTATCCTCCTCGGCTGCGATTACCTTGACCCCATCCCGAAGGTCGGTCCTTCGACAGCTCTCAAGTTGATTCGCGAGCACGGCGACCTGGAGACACTAGTCGAGGCTTTCAAGAATGACCCGAAGCAAAAGTACGTCATTCCGGACGACTGGCCGTACCAAGATGCCCGAGAGCTCTTCCTTAACCCCGATGTCCGAAAGGCGGACGACCCGCTTTGCGACTTTAAGTGGGAGAAGCCCGATATGGAGGGACTGGTGCAGTATCTCGTCACAGAGAAGGGCTTCTCTGAGGACCGTGTGCGCTCAGCAGGCGCCCGCTTGGAGAAGAACTTGAAGAGCAACCAGCAAGTCCGCCTCGACGGTTTCTTCAAGGTGATTCCCAAGACAGAGGAGGAGAAGGCTGCGCACAAGCGAAAGCTGGATGCCAAGAACGATGAAAAGAAGAAGAAGCAGAAGTTGGAGAAGAAGGAGAAGGCTGCTGCCAAGTCTAAGCCTCGTGGGGCCTAGATGGACGTAGTGGTCGGCGGTTGGACAGGGGTGGCTGGATTGCTGCGTGTGGTCTTCGCTTTGAGAATGATTGTCTATTAAAGAAAGGGCGGGACGGAACGGTGCCTTTTACGGATTGATTTAGTGTGGTATTCGGCGTTGGGGGGTCAAAAAGGAGACCCGTTGCTCTTGGGAGGCAATGTGGATTGAATGTCTTGGTAGGGATTGCTACGAATTGAGGACCAATCTTCATAGCTCGATACCTTTCAGATACAGATTATTTTCAAATATAGATTACTGATAATAACCTGGAAACTCATCTACAGGCAAAAATGCAGTGCCCGTATCCGTCCAGACAGCCAGCCTCCCCCATGAGATTGGTGGGACTGTGCAGACTAACCCACGTGCTAATAAGGTAGACGACTACTTCGTAGCATGCCGAAGACAAGCCATGGGTCGGTAATTTTGTCCCACGGGGTAATTTACTAATTCAGTAATTGCCAACGCCATCTAGGTTCTCCGCGTTCTACCTGTCGGTGTAGGAGGTCGGTTGTCGGGAGATCATGTGCCTGACTCGAAGCGCATTGGATGCAAAGCGGATGCGTATCGTCGATGCTCACCTCTCCGCCTCTGAGTGATGACTGTTGTGCCACGGGCAGCGAAGCGGCGGCAGAGAGGACCCACCTCACATGACCATCGACGGGAGTCCCATTGGCCAGTCACCTTTGGCAAAGATGCCGAGGTTGATCCACACCTCGCGAACCGGAAACGGGCCACCCTTCGATGACATCAGCCGAAGAAGAGGGAGGTGCGACGCCCGAAACAGAAATCGGGAATCACATGTTGCGCAAAGGGAGAGAGAGTCGCACCAAAACACACGGCTGCAGTTGAGCACCAGTCGCATTCTTGTAAACTTTTTTGATCCAGGCCGGAGGGAGGGGTCTTCCACCCGCCAGGCCAAAAAAAAAAAAAAAGACAATGGACGGCGCGCAAACTTGCGACTGGGGAGAGGCTGCACGAGACCACATGACACGGATTAGCGCACCTGGATGCCGCCGATGGGGACTAGTGCGACGGCTCCCCAAGCTCACTCTGGAGTCGGTTTCCCGTTCGCCAGCCTCCGGACCAATCCAATGGCACTTGATTGTGGTTGATTTCGGCCATGGCCAGTCGCGTCCGCTGCAATTTCAGTGACTGATGCTACCCGCGGCCTTAGTATCCTTACTCACTCCGTACTGCAGATTTCCCCACACAATGGGGGCCCGTCCCCGAATTTCCGCATGCTTTTTGTTTCTGGCTTGATTTGTACTCCGTAAGGTAGTGTACTAGTATCTCTGTCTGCGACCACGAGAGGTGTGGGGGAACTTTGGGAATCTTCAGGCCAACAAACACAACTGGATGATGGCATTGAAAGACCTCGCGAGCGTGGAGGACCGCTGCACAAGACACTTAATGTGCCGGTAATCGATTGCATTGCTATCCAGGTAGACTCGTTGCAATGCCTCGGTGCAGAGGTACTTGCATGTCCCGTGGTGCTGCACTGAGGCTGCGGCTGTGTCCGCACACGCATCCCCTGGGTCAAACGTGCAAGGTGACGAGAGCCCGTCGAAAGAGGTAGGTACCTTTCCTGGCCATCTGCACCCCAGCTTCACCCCGAGGCGGGAAGGGGTACTTTCCCCAGCCAATCTGGATGTACTCCGTACCTAAACCCTCCTGGGTAAGCAGGTCCAATGGAAGGTAACCCTCTCCCAGAAATCAAAGGGCAGGTGCCTCTCCCATTTTACCTTGGGCTTACCTTCCCGCGTCCGCAAGCATGTGATTGTCTGGCCTGCGCTTGAGCTGCTGGCCCATTTGCCGACCTTGGCCGTCGCGACTCGTTTCTTTGACACCATTTCCCCAGACACATCCTCTTCCGGCAAGACCTCTTTAAACATTGTTATCCCCCTCGTCCTTCTTCGTTTTCCTCTCCCCTGGTTCATCTCTCCTGTCATCCCACAGTCAAACGACGAATACCCATCCCACGAGTCTGCCGTAGATAGCACCCACATACTCCACAGCATCGTACGACAGAGTAATCATCGGTCACAATGTCCAAGACCTTCACCACTGGCGACGTTGCGTCGCATAACAAGCCTGACGACTTGTTCATCATCGTCGACGGCGACGTCTACGACCTCACAAAGTTCCAGGATGACCACCCTGGTATGTTCAGTTCTGCCATTCTCTTTGCCTCTGCTCCAGCCTCTGCTTCCCAAAACCACCCCACGCATGCCTCTCTAACTGACCTCCTCAGGTGGCAAGAAGATCCTCCAGCGCGTCGCCGGAAAGGACGCCTCCAAGCAGTTCTGGAAGTACCACAACGAGGGTATCCTGAAGAAGTACAAGGCCAAGCTGCACGTCGGCTCCCTCGACTCCAAGCCCAAACCCGTCGAGGCCGCACCCGCTGCCGCCGCTCCCGTGCCCAAGAAGGCCGCCCCCAAGAAGGTCGTTGCCAGCAGCACCGAAGAGTCCGAGCCCATGGATCCCTTTGGTGATTTGGTCCCCTACGCCGACCCCAACTGGTACCAGGCAGTAAGTGCAATCGTAATTCACCTCTGATGCTTATCATTCTCTGACATTTTGCCTACAGTACCACACTCCCTACTACAACGAGACACACGCTGCCCTCCGCACCGAAATCCGCGAATGGGTCGAGACAAATGTCGAGCCCTTCGTGGGTGAATGGGACGAGAAGAAGGAGGTTGACCCCTCCATCTACAAGCAGATGGGTGAGCGCGGTTACCTTGCCGGTCTGCTCGGTGTCCACTACCCTACACAGTACACCAACAACACCGTTGCGTCGGTGGCTCCTGAGAACTGGGATCTCTTCCATGAGATGCTTCTGACCGACGAGCTGTCTCGCGCAGCATCAGGTGGCTTTGTCTGGAACGTCATTGGTGGTTTCGGCATTGGCTGCCCGCCCCTGGTCAAGTTTGGCCAGAAGGCTCTCGTTGACCGTATCCTGCCCGGCATTCTCAACGGTGACAAGCGCATCTGCTTGGCCATTACCGAGCCCGATGCCGGCTCTGACGTTGCCAACTTGACTTGCGAGGCTAAGCTCAGCGAGGATGGAAAGCACTTCATCGTCAACGGCGAGAAGAAGTGGATTACTAACGGTATCTGGTGCGACTACTTCACCACCGCTGTCCGCACGGGTGGCGAGGGCATGAACGGTGTCAGCTTGCTGCTTATCGAGAGAGGGCCTGGTGTCACGACAAGGCGGATGGACTGCCAGGGTGTCTGGTCCAGCGGTACCACCTACATCACCTTTGAGGATGTCAAGGTACCTGTTGAGAACTTGCTCGGCAAGAAGAACCAGGGCTTCAGAGGTATGTGACCATTCTCAGTGCCAAGACCAAAGTACGTTACTAACATGCTTTAGTGATCATGACCAACTTCAACCACGAGCGTATTGGTATCATCATCCAGTGCCTGCGCTTCTCTCGTGTGTGCTACGAGGAGTCCGTCAAGTACGCCAACAAGCGTCGTACCTTTGGCAAGAAGCTCTACGAGCACCCCGTCATTCGTCTCAAGCTTGCGCATATGGCCCGCCAGATTGAGGCCTCATACGCATGGCTCGAGAACCTCATCTTCCAGTGCCAGAAGATGGGTGAGACCGAGGCCATGCTCAAGCTTGGTGGTGCCATTGCTGGCCTCAAGGCCCAGAGCACCGTCACCTTTGAGTTCTGCGCTCGTGAGGCGTCGCAGATCTTCGGTGGTCTGTCGTACTCTCGCGGTGGCCAGGGCGGCAAGGTCGAGAGACTGTACCGCGACGTCCGCGCATACGCCATTCCCGGTGGCAGTGAGGAGATTATGCTCGACTTGAGCATCCGGCAGAGCATGCGTGTGCACAAGGCACTCGGCATGAAGTTGTAAGCGGCAACGTCGGGAAGGGCAGTGGATGAACAAGAAAGACTATTACGTCATGTATGAATAGATTAGGTTGGACATCTTCTCATTTGTCGGGGCGTTTTGCATGGAGGCAGAGCTCAGTCCAGGAATCTAGATGAATACATGGCTCACTTTGATTACTTCATATATTTATGTCTATCCTCTTGGCAGTCTCCCCGCTAACCTCATACTTAGACTTTCCGCTTGTCTGCTAACTATGCGTTACAATGCTGCACATCGTTCAAGCCAGACGTAGCTTCACATTTCGGTCAGTTCTCAGATCTACGCCTCGGCAGTTGCCAGGGGTTGGAACCATCGTACCACCCTCTCCATGACATTTCAGCCGGCAGCACACAAACTCACAATCCGAGATCTTCATCCTCAATCGGCCACATTCCAGCAACACGAGCTGATGTCTCAGAAACTTCGTTTACGGTTTACCAGTCGACACGACCGATCACGGCGCAAGCCACTACCCTCCCAGCCGGGTCCAACTGGGTTTCCCCCTTGACTCCGGCGCTCCGCCACAAGACTCAACGACACGCTCTGTGGCTTCTCTCAACATCGCGCAACCAACTCATATCCCGTTCCCACCCACACGTGGGGAAATGGGGGGGTGCCGTAGATCACGAGAGTGGATGCGGCGTCAAAGGACCGAAAGCGCGTTTATCTCAGTACAGCCAAGCTCCGGAAGAACTTTTACGATTTTCATCGACAATCTGCCGTTTGCGGCCATGAAGCAGATATTTCCTCCTCGTATTCACTCAACAGACGAAAGATTTTCCATGGATTGAGTTCGGAGCCAATTAGGTATTGAGGGCAATGAGTCTGATTAATGTGATTTTTCTAACCAGATTTTCTTACTAGATCTTTAAGCTTGCAGTCTATGATGGAGACGAAGGAATCCACCAGAATTTCCTCCGGGATACCATGAGCGGCAGTTGATGACTGAACAATTCCTCTCGTTCCCTATAGACAATGATCCCGCGACCAGGCTGGAATGCTGAGTCCACCGGACTTCGGGAACCGGCTGTCTCACGGCGAGACAGCGTCGATGACGTTCTCATAGGGCTTGGACAAGAGCAAGGCTGTCTTCGGCGCCGAAGAGACATGATCCGGGCCGTACGGATACGTTGGCTTGGCCCTCTCGTTGCCCTGGATTGCAGTCGCATTCCGTTCCCCCTCGCCATTCTGGTCTCACTCTGAATCGCCTCGCGCAGGGTCGCAGCGATCACCAACATTCCTCACACCCGAAGATATCCACCAGATCCATCGCGCAATGTCTCACTCTGAACAACTACCTCACCAAACCCACCACACTTGCCTCTGATCTATCCGGATCCGACGAAATGCTCTTCTCCCCTGGTTCCGTACCTCGCCCGGCACAACTCTCTTCGCTGGACCACTCGCGTGTAAGCCATGCTCGCTTACAGGTTCATCCCAAAAATACCTCTTCTTCTTACCACATCCGTCCAACTGTCAGTCCCAACTGCCCACTATGGCGTACGCCAAAACGGTCCGAACTGGCAGAGTGCACGAGGAGCTCGCAACATCTTTTGCCGCATGCAGCCACATTCGAGATCTCTGAATTTTCACGATGCCCTTGGCTCAAGATTTTCCCACTTGGGATGGAGCTCACGAACTGTTCCTGCATGGTCCCACCGACGTTCTCGGTAATGTTCTCAGGAGGATGGGCAGACTTACACCACACGATCAATGGCTATATCAAGTCTCCTCGAACCCAGCCGATATCAGTCCTTTCTTCTTATCCTCATCACAGCAAACACAGCTTCAAAACCCCCCCTTCTCTCTGAGCTTCTGCTTCAACATTCGCTTTCGTCTTTCGTTCTCTCTAGCTCAAGATCAAGAGTCTAGTCAAACAGAACCAACCACCACTCTCGCTTACATTTACAAACCATCAAGATGGTTTCTCCTGCCATGATCCGCCTCGCCGCGGGTGCCGCCCTCTTGGCCGGTGTCAACGGCCAGTCGACTACCTCGACCACCGTCGTCGCTCCGACTACGACCGTGACGCCCAGCACCACCGTGACCGTGGCTAACCCCACCACCACGGTCACCGGCGGCGGCACCACCACCACTCTGACCTCTTCCGCCAGCTCCAGCAGCACGGCGTCCACCAGCACCTCCATCGTGACCAGTGTCGGCAGCTCTACCGTCACGGTCATTGCTCCCACGAGCACCTCGGTCACCACGGATTCCACCCTCAGCAGCGGCGCCAGCACCGTCCCGAGCACCACCGAGACCTCGACTTCTACCGGCTCGACTTCCTCGGACCCCGGCGTCGCCACCTCGTCGACCACCACCACCGACGTGGTCACCTCTACCGTCCTCACGACCTCGGCCCTCAACACCACCGACCCCGGCGTTCTCCCTACCTTTACCAGTTCCACCGTGACCCTTCCCAACAACAGCACCACTGTCATCCCTGTCCCGGTTGATCCCACCGTCACTCCTCCTCCCGTCTTCCCCAACGGAACCGCCCCTATCACCATCCCTCCCCCGGTGACGACCACCACTTGCAACTTCAACGGCACGTGCAATGTCATCACCCTGCCCCCTTGCGTGACGATCACCTCCTGCTACAACGGCTACTGCAAGCCCGTCACCACAATCACCTACCCCCTTCCCCCTGTCGTTACTCCCCCTACAGTGACGACCATCACTCGCTGCAACTTCAACGGCACCTGCTCGACCTACACGCGCCCAGTCTACGTTCCCGCCACGAGCACCCAGGCACCCTTCTACACTGACTGCTCGACCCTTACAAAGACGTACACTACCTGCAACAACGCCGTCTGCAGCACCGTCACCACGACTACTACTTCGTCTTTCACTCGCCCGGGAACTCCTACCCCTACTGGCCCTGGTGGCTCGACCTTGGTCACGAAGCCCTCGAACCCGGCCTCGCCTCCTGTCAACCCGCCTACCAACCCCAGCAACCCTCCTACCAACCCGTCGAACCCTCCCAGCAACCCAAGCAACCCTCCCGCCAACCCTCCCAGCAACCCTCCTAGCAACCCTCCTTCCAACCCTCCCAGCAACCCTCCTAGCAACCCTCCTTCCAACCCTCCTTCTAACCCTCCCTCAAACCCTCCCTCAAACCCTCCCTCAAACCCTCCTTCCAACCCCCCTGCCAGCCCTCCTGCGCAGCCTCCCGCGAACCCCCCTGCCTCCAACCCTCCCTCCAACCCCACCAACCCTCCCGCCGGCAGCTCTCCCGCGACCACTCCGGCCGTCCCCACCACCGTCAGCGGCACCCGCCCCGGCACCACGTCCCCTACCGCCGTGGTTACAGCCGGCGAGCCCGCTCTGATGGCCGTCAGTGTGATGCCGTTGATGAGCGTTCTTGGTGCGGTTGCCATTGGTATGGCTGTGTTCTTGTAATCTGGACCCTGCAGTTGTTTAGGGGTACCATGAACAAGTATGAGTTTGGCACAGGCTTGATAGCTAAAGCTGGATGTGAGAAGAACGTTTCCTTTGTATTGAATGCTCTTGTATGATGAGCTGGAATAGATTTGGTGATAAAATTGGTGAGGGAGGCCATGGATGATGGTTTTGTAATGAGGATGAGTTCAGAGAGAGAGAGAGAGAGGTAGATGAGGAAGAGACATAATGAAAATTATTATTTCAAAATGTTTTCGATGAAGTGTTCCGACAGCTCGAGTCACTGCACTATACAATAGTTGACTTAAGTTTCTCTCGTGTACGTGAGTTATTGTACGCATCGCAACGGTTGATATCCGTTAAAAGCACCGCATTGTCACTGATTTGAAGGACCGCGAACTACAGTCGATGTTCTGTTCGGAGTCGTATTCATTCATTCTTCCAAGACTGGCTTGGTCGAATCAGTAGTCCTACTTGATGGTTTCTAGTTTTCATGAATGAATATCGATGAGAGGGAAGTGTTGGTGGTCACCGCAATGCACGTGTCCGGCAATCTCGTCGTATTCGACAGAGAATTGATTGATACTTGGGACACCCAGGGAATGAAAACGATGTGATACTATCAAAAGCACCGCTTCACAACAGTTGTCCACAAGATGCATGTATCATTTGTAGCAGCCCCGGTCAGGTACTCAATCGAAGGATGACTGGACAGACTGGGACAAGATCAAGGAGTCATTTGAGAATTGCTTCCAAGAGCCTGCCGACACCAATCACAATACCAAGACCGTGCGAGAGGCAATGCTTTTCTCATGAGCAAATGGTGAAACCTATCTTCCCAAGGCCCGGCTGGAGATTAGCGCAGCCATACGTGACTCTGCAGCCATGCGTGGCTCTGCATCCACACGATATACCAGGCATCTTAGGTAGAGCATGAACCCGAAGATGATATAGACCTGGGAGAATACATCGCCAGTACTCAGCACATTTACACTCTCTGCGTGATGCATCTAAGCATGCCTCTCAATTCGGCGTGGATGTTGGTCAATTGAGGACCAGTCGGGCGGTTGTGGTTGGCACGTATGATTGGTCGGCTTCACCCCGCATCAAGACGGGACGATGACGGATGAGATGGCGATGCCCCGCCGTTCCGTACTCCGCCCGCGTTGAACAAGAGGCGGGGTGAGAACGTCCGGAAGGGAAGCAAAAGCAACTGATCAACATACCCAAGGCAGCTCCAGTCTACTCTATCTCAACTTCAACTCTTATACCCCCGCTTGCATAACCCACTCTTGATATTCAAAATGACCGTAATCCACGTTGTCCAGTTCCAGTTCAAGGAGCTCATCCCAGCAGAGGAGGTGAAGACGGTATATTCGACCACAACCCGGCGGACTCGGGGTCAGGGAGCTTAGTAGCTTGATTGCAGAGACACAGGCTAACGCTAGACACAGATGTGTGATTCCATGTTGGCGCTCAAGGAGAATTGCATCCACCCGACGTCTAGCAAGTCGTACATCAAGTCTCTGGTCGGCGGCCTCGACTGTAGCCCCGAGGGTCTGCAGGACGGCATCACGCACATTTTTGTGGCCGAGTTTGAGAGCGTCGAGGACCGCGACTATTACCTCCACAAGGACCCTGCTCACCAGGCGTTTATGAAGCAGGTTGGGTCGGCTATTATCAAGGCGAGGGTGACTGATTTCAAGCCGGGTGTTTTTTGAAGTGTATTGGGTATGACTTGTGAGATGGGCAGTACCTCATCGCAAATCCTGGAATCCGGCTCGCATGTACGGATACTGTCCAAGTGAACTGTACAGAAAACTATCGCTTGGAATGAAATGCCATCATTGTACAAGGGTTAGGCAAATGGGGAATGAACATCATACGGAATAAACCCACGCAACGGGAAGGAGATGCAGGGACGTGGAGGAGAAGCATTCAGGGTCTTGCTCAAAAAGATACATGCACTTTGTACCTTTCTCCCAGCCTGAGGGGTCCAAGATAGGTGGGGTCCAATCACGATTGAAGTCTTATGGACCAATCAAAGCTCGTAGAAGATGTCTGCTCCCGGTGATGTAAGCGGGGCACTCAAGGTACTGGGGTCTACGTCATTGGTAGCGCGGGCAGATCCAGGGAGGAAGGCACATTGCTCAGTGCTCTTGCCTTGCCTTGCGGTGCTCTGCCCACCCGACGCTCCGTCACCGTCCCCGTTCCTGCCCATCGTTGGTCCCCCGCCTGCTGCGTGCTCTTCCCCTCCCCCGCCTTGCTCCTGCTCTTTCTGCTCCTGCTGCTCCTTCTGCGTGTCTGCCTCCCACTGTCTACCCATTGTACGTACCTTTAGTAGCTTCTTCGAGGAAGGTACCCACCCACGCCCAGCGCTTGCCTTGCTTTCCCACCTCATTCGGTACGAACGTCCAAGTACCTTGACCTTGGGACGCTTCACTTTCATGACTTCAGGGGACCAACCTCAGTGCCTCCCTGTCACGCCTGCCTGACGCGAACGTCCAACATCCAGTCACTTGGCTTTATTCACCCAACTTGGAACTCTGCACAATCCGGCCACACCTCGTCACCCTTTCTTCTTCACACGACGACAACAAGCGCACATGCGAATTGCTCCCTTTGCGATACCCATTCAACTCTGTGCTAGATACCACCATTCCACCTCCATTGTCTGGCTCTGGAGGTAACGCCCACCTACACACCCAACGACGATACCCGATAGTTTCCGCCCTTTAACTACCGTCCACCACGAAGCGGCCCCAAATCATCTCTGCCCGAAACGTATCTACTGCCTACGAGCAACCGGTTACGAGCTCATCTCGGTCCGAACATCGACACATATAACGTCGACGGCTTCCGCTATCGACCTCATCGACACCCGTTCGGTTTATCCCAGACACCAACGTCAACTAGCAGCCATGGCGCAAGCACCGCGTCCTACCTTCATCAACCTCCCTCCTCCCACCTCCAACCCGGATACTCCATCTGAGATGCCGTACGCTGTCTCGCCCCCTCTCTTCCACTTGGTTTACAAGCTAATATGTCTCTACACAGCGGCACCCCCACGAGCGCCACGACCTCCCTCTCTGCCCTCTCGACCACCGCTATTAAAGATGGTCACCGAGGCCACTTTCCCCAGGGTCCCGCCGGTGTCCGCGGCCACGCCCACCACCCCTCTACAACGAGCCTCGAGGCCGAGCGCGCCGACAGAATCTCCCGTCTCGCCGGTCTAGAGCGAGTCTCGACTCTACGCGCTCCGCCGCACCAGCAGAATGCCGGTTCCTCAATCTCTCCTCAGACGACCCCCACCTCCACCGGCTTCCCTGCCAACTACCCGCCCAACACGCACCTCACGCCCGCATACTTTGACGCCCATGGCCAACCCACCGCTGTGACTAAGATGAGCACTGTCGGTACTGCCAGCGCGACTGAAAGCTATGTCGGTGATGACAACGAGACACGCACCGCACCTGGCGAGCAGGACGAGGATATGTTCAGCATGGATACCAACTACCGCGAGGCCGACTCCGTTACCAGTATGGGCGCCGAGCCTGAACGCATGGACGAGGACCAGACGGCTGGGTCCACCGGAGGCTATGACGACCGCATGAGCGACGATGGATCCGCCAGCCTCGTTGGTTTCGGCGAGGGCGCCAACAGCACCGTGTCTGGTCCCATTTACCAGCGTCGCCCCATTCCTGGAGTCGCTGGCCAGGCTGGTATCTGGGGTCTGGAGCGAAGTGCCTCTGGTCTGAGTGACGGCCTGCCGACGCAGCGGGCCCGTGACGTCACAATGGGCGGTGATACTCCCACCAGCGCGGCCGCAATGCAGGAAAGACGGGATGCGAGGATGATGGATGGTACGACCAATGATGGTGCCGGTGTACCTAGCGACGAAATGTACGTCGACACCACCAACAAGCCACCTGTCCCTGCTTCCCAGCTCCCCCAGCAATCTTCACAAGCTAACCCCGCCACGACGCCAACAGCTCGTGATACTGCAGAGCGTCTTCTTAGGGAGCGACTTGATGGGGGCGAGGCGCGCGTAGGTAACACCGCGCTTGGTAGTCCCCAGGGTGGCGGCGACAAGCTCGGCAAGTTCTACTTTGAGGAGCGGAAATGAGGCCCACCGAGTTCTTTTTTTAATTTGATCAAGTAGGCGAAGACAGAGGTACGCGGATGATTATATACGGTTCATGACGTTGGGAAATAACTTTGGGAAGAAAACTGGCGGGCTAAAGACTCCGCCCGCATGATTTTGACGGGTTTGTTGCCGGGATTGGAATTGATTTGGCCGGGTTATGAATGCCCTAGGTTCGACTAAGACAATGCGAGCTACTGATTATGAGTTGTCGTGTTTGATTCTGAAGTGACGGGAGACTGGAGATAGGCAATGGTTCATGTTTGTGTCGTAAACCCATCCAGGACTGGAAAATTTGAGGCATGCAGCTTTTGCCTACAGACGCATTGTTCATGAAACTGAGAGGTCTGGCAGCGGCATCTGGCCAAGTCGAGATGCGAGTATCAAGGCACTGCATTGCCGAGGAAGTCCAATATGAGCAACATTGGCGTGGGGCCTGCTACTCAGCGCGGACCCCCGACCCGGTGGCGTAAATAGTTCAGTCGGCACCCCGTGTGCGGGATCGGTGTCGGGGCCGGCCGTGCGATTCGAGCCCCGCACCTGTTCGATCCTGCGGGAGACTCTACGCAGTAGGCGTTATTGGAGGCAGAGGTGAGTTACGGGCATTGGTTTGGGGATGCCGAGTGGGGACGCCCTGGGGGATATTGGCAAGAATACCTATGGATAGGATACATGTTGAGACGTTGGCTTCGCGGTTGATCTCGCGTGGGCTTCTACGGATAGATGTTCGGACGAAGGGAGGTTCAGGGGATGTGGCCTTGCTCTTGGGGTTCTTTTTGGTGTGGAGATTGAACTTTAACGCTTAAGGGAGCTCCGTAATCATATAGAGATGGGTTCTAGCTTGTAAGCTGTGGGTTTGTTGAGAAGTTGGTTTCGATGATATAAGCCCTGGAATAGCCGGTGCCTTTTTACTTCCGTTCCTTTCGGGAGTTTTTTTGTCTTTGCGTTTTCACGTGGTGCTATGGTGCTGAGTTCAACGATTCTTAACAGCCCGGCTTAGAGGGTATTGTCTCTTTGGAAGTTCAAGTCTGCTTCTGCTGTGTGCTATTCTACGCCGCATAATCTTATCTTACTACTACTTCATTGAAACTTCGCAATTGGCCTAGTTTTGATACCTTCGTACCTTAGGCAGTATAGAAAAGCGCTTGCATAGAGGTAGTAAAGTCGGCACGTCGCTTCTGCCCCTCGTATTCCGCATTCTTAAAGCTCGGTTTCTGCGGACAGGAAGCCGCCGTCTTCGCCGGAGAGGTCCAAACCACGACCCGATGTGACGCTGACATGCCCTTCCCCAGTGGTCTCCCCCGCTGTTCATCGCATCATTGTCTAGCAGCCCCCCTATTCGCATCGAGGACCGTGCTACAAATACTACGGGTTGACTCAGTTGTTGACCATTAGTAGGGGAGAAACGGCTCCGGGTTCATGGAATGGGGTTTACGCATATTGGTTTATATTAACAAACCGGGTTTTCTTTAGCGTTCCGGCCTTCCTAGGTTGCTTGTTTAGGTAGTCAGTGCGGGTAAGGAAACTCAAAATAAGGTGAATCGTGACGGAGACGTCCCCCCGGCTGTTATTAGTCAACTTCAATAACTGATGCGGCACATTGCCGCTTATGTGAACATGCAAAATATGACGGATGAGGACTTCGGGAGATTTCATTCTACGAGACCCTTGACTCCTTATAGAGATAGCTCCGCTCTCTTTAGGTTCCGTCACGGTTACTCGTTCCCCGCGCACGTCGGACACCACATTCGCTCACTCATAGACCATGCGCCTCTTCAGGACTCTACCGCTTGTCGTCGCGGGACTTATTGCGCCTTGCTTCTCGGGCGCCTTTCCCTCGACTAAATCCCAGGATGCGGCGGCCACGTTCTTGGATCGTCTGCTTGTCGATACATGGGGTCTGGGCGATGCTCTTCAGCGGCAGCCTTCTTCGCTAGTTGTAGATTTGGGCTATGCCAAGTATGAAGGGTACAACAACGCCACCAGCGGACTGAATATGTGGAAAGGGTGAGATGTTTGTCTACGTATCTCGTAATCGTTTACTTAAAACCCTCCAGCATCCGCTACGCAGCTCCGCCGACGGGTTCACAGCGATGGCAACCTCCCCGGCTCCCCTCATCCAACGACACGGTCATCGGTGGTAGGGTCCCGGTGACGGCAGCGACCGAATTCGGCCCCATCTGTCCGCAAAACTACCCCGCCGTCCCGGGTCTCCCCTTCATCCCCGGCGACGAGGACTGTCTCTTCCTAAACGTGTACGCGCCCGCCGACGCCAAGGATTTGCCGGTGCTGGTGTATATCCACGGCGGCGGGTACGGGTACGGTGATGGGAGGATTGACATGTCGGAGATTATTGGGGCGAACGGAGGTGGCTTTGTAGCTGTTGTCATTCAGTACCGGGTATGGTCTTTTGCTTTTCCATATCTTGTCGAGGGCATTTGTCTAACCTTCTCCCGGGACTTGGTGATGGACGAGAGAGATCCGTTGAGAGACAGCATGCTGACGATGTACAGCTCGGCGCGTTGGGCTTCCTTTCCTCTGCGGACGTCAAGGCTCGCGGTGTCGTGAACGCGGGACTTCTGGACCAGGCTTTTGCGCTTGCTTGGGTGCAGCGCTTCATCGGCCTGTTTGGCGGTGATCGTGGAAGGGTCACGATTGCAGGGGAGTCGGCGGGTGCTGGGTCGGTGATGTATCACACTCTCGCCGTGGACGGTAGTCTGGGAACGTCGCTCTTCAAGAACGTGAGTTTTGACAGGTTGCGGCATGGAAGCCTGTGGTGATGATTGGCTGACTCGATTACGATGCTAGGGGATCGCTGCTTCGCCGTATCTTCCGTTCCATTATGACTACGACGCGGCGTTTCCGACGGCGCGGTACCAGGCGTTTGCTGAGAAGGCGGGGTGCTCGTCGTCTGTCGATGTTCTTGCGTGTCTTCGGGGCAAGGATAGTATGACGCTGCAGGTGGCGAGTGCGAATACCACCTTTGAACAACCGTATGGGTTCTGGTACGTAGTTGGTTCTCGGAACATGCGGTGTTCACACTTCCTAGACGCGACTGACTGGATAATGATAGGGCTTTCTATCCCGTGACGGACGGCGTCTATATTAAGAACCTCCCGACTGAGCAGATGAAGCAGAAGAAAGTCAACGGAGAGCGTCTACTCGTCGGTGTGAGTATTCGACCCTCCAAGCTACGCTTGCGTTCCGTGTGTTCTCGACCGGCAACTGACAAGTCTTGCAAGCATAACGCTAATGAAGGACCTCTCCTCACCCCGCCCAACATCGTCAGTGTCGCAGACTTGACGTCCTGGCTGAAGCTCGAATTCCCCAACCTCTCGGCGAGCCAAATCGACCAAGTCCTCGCGGCGAATCCGACAAAGACGGGCTCGAACGACACCCGTTTTGAGACGAATGGATTGACGGGGCTTACGGCCCTTGACGTGAGCCAGTCTGGGACTGGACTACAACAGAGAGCAAACGTAGGGAAGCTTTACCATGCCTTGTGACCCGGACTCTAATATCAGTGAAATAGAACATCTACGCCGAGGCAACATTCGTGTGCCCCAGCTACTGGCTCTCCGACGCCTTCACGTCGCCAAAGTCGTCGTGGCACTACCAGTACTCCGTCCCCTTTGCCTGGCACACGACCGACATCCCAGGCTACTTTGGTCCCGCGACACCAAACCAGGGCCCAGACATCGTCCTCGCCTTCCGCAAGATCTGGGGAAACTTCATCACGGGCAACGACCCCTCCATCAGCAATGAGATCGCCAACGGAGCCTCTAGCGCCGACGCGGGCGCCGAGAACGGGGCGAGCGAGTGGCCTGTCTGGACGGAGGAGGCGCCGAAGCAGGTGAACCTGAACCAGACGGGCGGCGTGCCGTACGAGTTTACGACTTCGTGGGGGGCGCGGGTTACGCAGTTTATGGCGCCGGGACAGGTGAATGATATCCGGGTTGTCCCTGCGGATTCGTGGGAGGGTGGACGTGGTGCCAGGTGTGAGTTTTGGAGGGGGCTGGCTCCTAGCATTCCGGCGTAGACTAGGCTTGGAGCGCGTAGACTCCAATGAGTTGATGCTGTAGCAATAATCGAAAACGATCAGGTTACAAGAGATTTGATGACGCTTGCGATGGGCGGGATGGATGTGAACAAGACGGTGATGGTGCCGAATAAGCTCATTGACAAGCTTGATAGCGCCGCAGCACGGGGATCGGTTCGTAAGAGGAGGGCGGTGGCGATGGCTGAGGAGTTGGCTCCGAGTGTGACGCCGCGGGTGATGTAGTCATCTGTGTTCCTGTAAGCTGCTTATGTTCGTTCATTTCATCGCTCACACAATGCAGGCTCATACCTTCTGGGATCTTCATCCAGGCCAACATCCGCTGGCCAACTAGCACACCGACAATACCGCTCATGATAGCTACCGCAGCCACGGTATTCAGATCACCACCAAGGTTCTCCGTTGCAGGTAGAGCCAGCGCAAGCGTCAGACTTCGCGATGCAAACGCGAGAGACCTCTCCGCGCTGATGCCGATGGCGAAGCAAATCTTGGGGTACGAGAAGAGGCAGCCGATCGACATGAGGATGTTGGGCAACACGATCGCCACAAAGTTCTGCTTCAGCTCACGGCGGTATTGGTACATTGGCAGTGCCAGAGACACGATACTCGCGTCGAGGACGGTGCTGAAGATGTCGCCGGCGCCAGGGAGACGACCCTCCGGGTTCTTGGCGTGAAGCCATAGGTACGTGTAATTCGCTCCCGTACGGAACGATCGGAGAGTCTCAAAGAGGCCTGCGCCTTGGATGGCGGCTAGGGCCCAGATTCCGAGGACGGAGAAGAGAGCGGTGACGAGGACGGGGTGAAGGTATTGCCTCCAGTTTGCGGGGACGGACATGGCGGCGAAGTAAACGAGGAGGATAAGACTTAGGTGAAGGGGCATGGCGTAGCCTGTTGTGTAGTAAAGGGGGATTCCGACAAAGGTGAAGATGGAGGCGTAGAGAACCCAATTGAGGTGACCGCAGATCCAGGCTGCCCAGAGCTGGGAGCGTGGCGGGGGGACGGGGTCCTGTGGTGGGAGAGGTGGTGTCGGCGGACAGGAGGGAATATCGACGTTGATTTCGGTGATTCTTGCGGGAGATGATGTTGCTGATGGTAGGAAGTTGTGTGAGGCGTTTTGGGAGGGCGGCGGCGGAGCAAGGGTGTTGAGTGAGAGTGAAGACGGGGCTGCGGAGATGGTGCGGGAGCCCGGGACGGAGTCAATTCGTGGAGGGGTGTCGGCGAGGGGAATCTCGTCGGTCTCGTTGCCCATTTCTTCTGCACGTTCTGTCATTGCGCGTTTGGATGATCCGAGTAGGAGTTGGAGGCCGCGGGTGAGGTATGCGGCGAGCGCCATCATAACAATGAAGCCGATGACTGAGGGGCGTTAGAACTTAGGTCCACGAAACATTGGATTGAAGAAGGGGGACTTACTGAAGACGGCAATAATCTTCATGACTTCAACGATGCCGATTGAGGGACTCAAAGGCAGCATGATGAACGATGGTGTGAAGAAGATGTTGATCCAACGGAGAGACCATCCCGCCTGAGGTTCATCAGCGACGAGCTTCCAATAACATCAACCTCGTTGGAAGAACCTACTGGCACGTCAATGACGGCAACGATAGCTCTCGTCTTGTGGTTCCCCAGTACCAGCTCCGACAGCAAGAGCCCAAAGAAGAGCAGAATCAAGCAGGCCACGGAGGCAGGGAACGAAACGCCGACGGCGTCGAAGAAGACGCTGACGCCAAAGCAAGCGGCCAGCATGACCATGATGCCCGCGGGCACGTAAAGCCATGAACTGAGGAGTTTCGGAGCCGTCTGGGACGCAGCCTGTTCGAGATGAGTGAGCTACTTTTACAGAAGAAGCTTGAATTTGTGATTTGGACATACCAGCTTTATCGCTTGGAGAACATCGGTGGATGTCTTGAGCCATTGCGGCTCGCTACTTGGGCGTTTATTCGAAGTCGTCATCGTTGTTGTGTCTCGGAATGAATCTCATTATGAGAGGTAAAAATGGTTAATCCTGTATACAGAATGAGTACAGGTCCAAGCTAAAATATTTTGAATCAAAATCAGACTTACAAACAAGAGAATTTGATCGAAGAAACGTGTGTGACATGAGCAAGAGCAACAAGGTTCTTCTTAGCTCTCAAGTTATCGCTGTTTGCGTCGGACGATATCGCCGTTGAAATTAGTCAGTCCCCTAGCCGCTTTCCCACCCCAGCGAAATGCTCCGATGCCGCCCCAAGACAATTAAGGCAAGGCTTTAAACCGGAAATCGAAGCCACTGGGATAAGCATTCGGCGCCGAAATCTTTTCGTTTCCGGCGGTGGGATTTGCTCGTGATAAGGCGCTTTTTCGAGGGTCCGCCGATCGGAAGCCGAGCCGAGCGGGCGGATCTCACCCGAATGACGACGGTCCACTTTGTCTTTGGGTTTGAGCTGTATCTTCAGCTTTCATGGAATGCCCTTCTTTTCGGATCTCACTTCACGATGGTCAGTCAATGTGAAGCTGTCACGAGCCCTCAACTCACATCATGCAGGTCCAGATGCCCGGCAGCGACTAGACCGTGATCATCGCTTGGCAACAGTAACGAGGGACGCCCACTTATGTAATGCCATGCATGAGAACTGAGAGGGCTCCACCGCAGCGCTGTATGCCTGCAAAAATGACGATCAATGGCACCATGTCACGGACTGCAGCAGTTATACTGTGATTTCCTTGAATTGCAATGATACGGATCTCTGAGCTAAGGTAATTGCACTTCCTGCCTCATACCCTCTCTCAAACCCGAATGCACATGAGCTGAGGCCTTGTCTATGAACTGCGTTGTTCATCTGTAAAGCCGATTCTCATGAAAGCCATGACCATACTGCCGTGTCCCTTCTCGAAAGCCTCCTTGCCAAACATTCCGCTGTCTTGGATCCCTCGAGGTAAACTTATTTGTGACGGGTTTCAGTCTCAAATTTCCAGGCTCTTGTTCAGAAAATGCGACGCCACCAGAATGCGGAATCGGACGTTGGGGGCTCCACCATACATGGTGCGAATTGAATGGTAGAACTGGTCGGTCAGTATGAGGAAATTGGCTGCATCTTTAAGAATAGAACCATTTGCCTGGTGTTTAGCGATGTACCGAGTGATCTCCACCCAAGTTCTATGCTTGTCCTCGAAGACTACAAGATCCTTGTTGGGACGCTTCGCAAAGCCTGGTTTCTTGTTGTTAGTACAGGTGAGGTCAATCACGGGCTCGCCCACAGCGGTGCAAGCACTTACGAAGCCGCTTCTTCATCCACTTCTTCTGCTCAGCCAGACTACCGCCGCCCAGCTTGACAAGAACGTAGAAGTTCTTGATATCTCGAAGGTTCGTGATCATTGTGCTGAGATCAGGGATAGAGCAAGGAAAAGGAGTGCGTCTCATGTGGGGCTTCAGGCCGCGAAGGCGGCTCGAATCGTACATGACGCCAATGTTCTCGATACCAGGAACAAAGAGCTCGCGATTGAGCTTCCGCTGGATGTCGCTGTGCCAGTCCAGGTGACGGCCCTCATTCTCTCTGAAGATAAGGACCATGAGATCCTTGCCCTTGCGGACGCCTTCCTCAGGGCTGTAGGACAAGTCCTTGAAGGAGACACCAAACTGGCGCTCGACGTAGGCTTCGAAGCCGGGGATGCCCTTGGTGAGTTCGGCGATACATTTGAACTTCGAGTTCTTACCATCAGTGCCAGTGTTGACGTCGATGAGGCCCGGGATGTTCTTGTTGGCCTTGCAGTCAGCGTAGATGATGGCTGGCTCGAAGTCGATGTACTCGCAGAGGATCATTGCCTTGATCTCATTGGGGAGACGGGGGAACGGGTGGAAGGTGTCGAAGCGAGGCTTCGGCTTCTGGACCTTTTTGCCCTTCCCGACCTGCTTGGCCTTCGCGACCTTCTTGACCTTCTCAACCTGGGGCTCGGTGGTCGAGGTGCTCGATCCATTGAGGTTGGGCACAGCAGTGCCAGTCATCTTGCTGACGGCAGCGGTAGCACCGGCACTGCTGATGAGAGCCTGGCTGCGAGCGCGGGTACGGCGAGCCGGACCCATGATCGGCTTGGAGATGACCTGACGAGGCATGGCTAGTGATGCTTTTGGCAATGCTCTAGCGAAATTTCGATGAATGTCAGCAAAGTTGTAGGCAAGAGATGACATTTCAAAGTAGGGGCAAAGTCGAGAGTGAGCAAAGCACCAGAAGAGAGTCGTACAGCGCGCTTGTCTTCTTTCCCCTTGCTCTTTCTTGGAGACTAAGTAAGAAGGCGCAACTGATAGCTGCTCTCCGCAATTCGACAACGAATCGAGAAAGACCAATAATGGAAGGATTGAAAAGGTCAGAAAATATGGGTGTCGCTCGTTGCCTCAGATCGGGAAGCCCGCTGTCCATGGTCGAGAAGGAGAGCGCTATCCCCACGCAAAAGCAGACCAAAAGAGCCGGTTTTTGCGAATTCCTGCATAAGCCGAGATGAACGAGGAAACAAACAACAACTGACTTACTGTTGTCGTAACTGCGTATGGTATGCGAAGTTTCTGCCAAGATGTCTGGAGGCTGTGAAACAATCAGCTAAGATTCTCACTCAAGAGACTCGAGCACCTGTGAACGACCCGTTTTCGCAGCCCAGCTTGTGATGGCTTTCTCCACCAAAATCGAGGGCGCTAGTAGAAAGGAGATGGGAATATTGGAAGAAAATAAAAGACACTCTCAAGTATCGAGATAGCGTAGAAGAGATGGGTTTACTTACCTAGGTGGTGATGTTTGATGCTGCTGAAGGCGACTGGAGAGTGGCCACCAAAAAGATGTTTGGTGGAAGAAGACTGTAAGAAGAGAGGAACCTGAGAGGAGGAAAATTGGAAGAGGAAAAAACCCATGAGGTGGATGGGGCTTTAAGAGCTTCGAGAGACCGGGTAGATTTTTGAAGTCTTGTGAGGCGGGTAGGACTGACCAGAGTTTACAAAAAAGGCGAGTGCAGCTGTTGAAACTGTCTCAAGGCGATTACAACCTTCAGAGCTTTTGAGAGCGGGTACAATTATCAAGATTATGCAAGGCAAGTGCAACTCTTGAGACTTCCCCGGCGAGCAAAACTTCGAAACTTCAAAGTGCAAGTGCAGCCAGGAAATCTGTGTCAAGCGGGAATGACTGGCAAAACCTTTGAGGGTGAAGCTTGTTCTAAGTCATTGTTTCTTCTCAGTTTCATTTACGAGGCAGCTCCAGTTTTCGAAATCCCACACAGCGGACACAACTTGAGAGACTTGTGTAGTGGGCACAGCGATCTAGGCTTCATGTGGCGATTGCGAACGTCAAAGCTTACCAAGGCTGGCATGGTGTTCAAATAAAGCACAAAAAGGGTTAGCAGGAGTTTAGGCGCGGCTTGATTCAGTAAGGCTACATAAAGAGGGCAGGTCTGTTAATGCTTTACAAGGTGAAGGGGCAGGATTGTTCATTCTCCATAAGGCGGATACAGTTGACGGACATTCATGCAGCCACACGTGGAAAACAACACTATCAAGTCTTCATGAGACGGGTAGAACAATCCCCTATATGTGACATGAACAAGGGACCCTGGATATTTTCATAAACAAAAATTATCAAAGTAAGTTGCACATTCTCACCAAAAGGTGTAAGGTCTAAAGATGGGTTGCTTGATTTGTTAGACTTCAGAATTGTTACAGCTCAATGAAAAAATCCCAAAGCCTAAACTTTATTGCTTTGGCAGAGTTTGTCAAATACGATAAAGATAAGAAGTGCAGTCAAGATACTTGACTGTGGTACTGGATTTCATTTGCGAGTCATCTTCGAGAGTATTGAACCGATTTCCGAATTCCCCTAGATGCATTTACAATAGGGAATGTCCGGAACATGCCGCTTCATGGACGCATCATCATTACAAGACGGAGCTGTTACGATCAAGATCAGAGGACACCATTCGTCATTGATACCATGTATGCCAAGCAATGAGCTCAATCTGTTTCCGGCCGAACCTAAATCACTATCATTCATTGAATCAAAAGGCCCCTTGGTGTTCTATATTCCGCCGCTCCATGGACTCAACGCTTGTCAATCTTGACTCCACGAAACGTCTTCTGAGCCTCATAGCTTTCAGGAATCGATACATTTAGCATCTCGACACAGAGTTACGAAACTTCTCGAGAAAGACCTCTCAACTTTTTCTGCGAGAATTCTTTCACCTGATTCCGCTATTCAGGTTGCTGTGGCCTGCCCTAAAGGAGGTCGTCTATAAGTAGGATCTCTCTTGACAGCCCAGACTCGAGCAATTCTTCGGACATGCGCCCGGAACATGTTTGTGTTGTCTCCAAACGTCTTTTCATCATCAGCGGAAAAGCTTGGTCTATTTCAGCGAACAAGACTTTTAGATCTTTTGTCGAACCCAACTGAAAGGATTCTGGCTCTCCGATTTGCCTCGATGTATCCGCGCTGATCTCAAATTCAGGCACCAGATTTGATCTCATCCACACGGACAATTCCTGGAACGCTTGGTTAATCTCACTACAGCCGACAAGCCTCTCGGACTTCTCCGACAGCTTTCTTTCAGAACCACGACAATTCTGTACAGCCTCTCGTAATTGGTCTTTTTGCTCGGATAGGCAGAGCAGAAACCCCTGTAGGTTCTCAATGTCGCCCCGACGATCTGATTTACCTCTTGACGCGTTTGATTCAACACGGGTACTGCAGTACTTTAACTTCTGTTGGAGTTTCTCCTCGCAGAGAGCTCGTAATGCCTCCAGCGTTCCGTTCAAACAAGAGTGGTGTTTATCTCGGACTTTCATGAAAGCCTTGACGGCGCCGCAAATGATCTGATAATCTCTACCGCTTGCCATCAATGTTTTCTTATGCTGTTCGGAATATTCATCCTTCAGCAGTGTGAAAGTCTTCAAAGCCTCCGTTTGGCCCTTTACGCAGCAGAAGAAGATGAACGATTCCAGGCTCGTGCCCGGAAACGTTGGGGTAAAGCACAGGTCTGCGAACCATGGAATGGCTATCCAGTCTTTAGGTGTCAAGCCATCTGTATCAGCCGTCCCTAGCGTTTGTAATATGGTCTCCCTATCTGGGCAAGACTTTACTATAACGTCTAGGGCGAACTTCGCAAGCGGCCGCTTTTCTGACTTTGTGTATTGCCGAGTTGTGGGCAAGCCTATTTTCAACGACTCTCGAAGCAAAGGTGCCACAGCCAGTTCTAGCGCCAGAATTGGGTCCCTCTCACCTTCTGCGGCGCTTCGGCAAGATACTTGTTCGGATGATGAGGCACGGATGCCAAGGTAACGGTAGGCTTGGTTTGTGACCATTTCTTCGGCTTTTGCTGCCTCAATGTAGAACTCTCCGCTGCGGCCTGGAGTCTGTAGGAATGAATTTACTGTTTGATGGGATAGCTGAATCGTCCAATTCGGTTCCGCGCGCCTGATCTTATGTCGCGAGTCCAGTCTAGACATTTGGCAATCATCCAAAATCTCTATCAGCGGACCGCAGTACATCTGAATGCTGCGACAGAACTTGGGCCAAAGGTGCTTTCCAATGACCATCCTGCGTGAACCCAAGGAATCATGGCTGAATTGCCTGTGTTCCCCCATCTCCGAGATCGCAATTACTTCCCGTAATTCCGTTAACTGTAGGGATGATCTCCTTTGAGACCCGACAATCCACTCCAAAATTGTTTTGGTCTTTGACAGTTCTTTGCTTGTACTGGAATCCTTGAGACCTTCGAGAAATTTAATGTAGAGTTCTTCAACCTCTGGAGGCGATGCAATAAGCGAGTCCATCAAATCCTGGGTCGTAAACAGTCTCTCGTCCTCGATCAAGAGCAAAAGTTGTCGAATAATCAGGATGACCCAGAGTATCACGCCATTGGCATGAGTTTCTAAGTGCGTACGTATTTTGCCTAATGTTTCCTCTTGTATATCTAGGTCGTCATTGGGAGACTGACTCTCGTAACACTGCGAGTCAGTTGAGGCGTCAGAGTCCTCGTAGAAACCCGCTAGGTCGTCATGGTCGGCGTCGGAGGAGAGGGCATCTTGCCATGCCGCTCGAAGTTTCTCGATACCTCCTTCAATCATGATGGAAATATCCCGGTTGTTGTACTGCTCCATCTTGATCTTCAAGCAGTTGCTCAGGCTTTTGGAGATGACGGACTCAGGCCTGCTGAGCAAGACGAAGCGGACGCGGCTGTCCCGGGAACTTGCAATTCCTGTAAACATCTGCAGTAAGTCGAAACCTTTGTGCGTCGACTTGAGACCTGATGGTCCCGTCACGCTCTCTGACTCGTCTAACGCGTCTATCACTGCAAGTGTTCGGGGCGTTGAAGGGCTAAGCGCGAGTGTCGTGAAAAGGTCTGACAGCTCTGACAGCAACCAGTCGTCATCCTGCCGTTCAGCATCAAATCTTGCCCGATAGATAGATGTCGCAGGTTCGAACGTCGTCTTGCTTGAGCTGAGGATGTTGAAAGTCAGAGCGCGCAGCATTGAAGCATCTTTGGCTTCAAAATCAGGCCCTCGGGCTGAATAGAACCAGTCACATACGAACGGATCGTCATTGGGATCGCCGTTTGGGACATCCCTTTGAAGACGTTGTTGGATGTTCTTCGCTAGAACCGACTTGCCGCTTCCCGCTTTACCCATTATCCACAAGATTTTACCAGAAGATCTCCACTCCTGGAACTCCTCGGTTTCCCAGAGCCACTGGTTGGTGGCAGGCAGCGGATCTGCGACTTGATCTCGCCTTTGGTGCATGCCATCGAACCGCAGGCTTTCAATGCATTCTATCTGCTGTTAGGGCTCCAAGTTCGTTGTTAAACACTAAAAAAAAAAAAACTGGGATGTATACCTCGCCACTCCGTAGTTTCGTCCACAATGAGAGCATTCGACATGACCTCCGCCCATCTTGACTCGACGCCAGTGCTGTCTTTGCGAGTATCATCAATGCAAAGGAGAGCTCTGACACTATGGCCAAGCTTGGCGATCCATGTAAGCAGTCTCATACGAGCACTCTGGGATTGAAGCTCGAGACCGTCGAGAATCAGCACGACGCATTTGCCATCCTTCCTGATATCCTCCAGACAAGCGCTCATGACAGTAGCAACTTTTGAAAAATAATCCCGAGTGAGGCCTCTGATTTGACGATACCAGGAAGTGATCGTTTCCCCCACAGGCGAAGCAGGACCGTCGTCATTAGCATTGGGCTTGGAGGAACTCTCCGACTTCCCGAAGGCTGAGCAGATTGAATTGAGAGCTTCTCTTGCTGTCAGAGAAAGCCGCACAAGAATCTCAGCGAGAGAAGACTCGGGCCCAAATTGCCCGCGAAGGAGCTGTGCGACAATGCACCAAACAACCTGTGCTTGATTCATTTGCTCACGACCAGATTTTGGTGACTGATTCGCGCCGGCTTCCAATGTCGCAAAGGAGAAGAACGCCACAACCGGTGACTCTTCCTTGTTGAGGAGCTTGCCTGAAGCTACTTGGAGTCCGATACCATTTGCTGCCGAGAATGAGTGAAGACCTTTCCGAAGCCACAACACTCTTGAATCGTGTTCACTCTCTGTTGGCTTCGCGCACCATGACTGTGCTAACTTGCAATAACGAAACCACGAGATGTCATCGCTCGTAGGATTTGTTTGAGCCGTCACTCCAATTTCCATAAAATGTCCCCAAACTGCTGCTGTCTTCGCAACTATGTGAATAGCTTCTTGAAGTCCAAAAGCTGCTGCCACATCGTCAGGTTTCAGTATGATCTCAGTGGTGTCTGCACCCTTTGCTAACTCCATAAGCCGCCCCCGCAAGGTATCTGAGAACTTTCCGGTTAAGACCCATTTCAGACAAGTTTCCGGATTCTCGTGTTGGAGCTGCTGGATGTGGTGTATCAGGCGAGATACATTTGAGTCTGCACGGTCCCCCTCGCTGCCTTCGAAGTCTATTCCGTCGATTACGATCACAAGAGGGCGTCTTTGCCGCGAAGCAGCATGTCGAAAAATCTCACCCAGCATGCGATGGAATAAGCCGGCTCGGGAGACTTCGGCTCTAGATATTTTGAGCTCGTGCCCAAAGGTGCGATTCATTCGCGTCAGAAGCTCCGGTCCATCGGAATGCCGAAGCAAGACGTAGGCCAATCCACCGAGGATCGTTGACGTTGTGATAAATGATATTGGATCGCTTTGAGGATCTTTGCAAAAGAAGTAAGCCGTGATATCGTATCGATGAAACCTAACAGGCCTAAGAACTGACAATGAGAACATGGAATGGCCCAGTCCAGTCTCATCGTCAACGAAGATAAACGGCTTTCCTTCTTGTTCCTGCAAATTACTAGCAAGTCTGCTAGCGTTGAAAGATTTTGCCGAGCTCTGGTATCCAAACTGGTGATGAGATGCTGTGTTTAGATTGGGATGGATGGAAGACAGGTTGAAGAGAAACTCAGAGTCGTCGAACTCCCGCAAGTTCAGTGCATGACCTAAAGGCAATACGGTTAGCTCCAGTCTCAAGTTTCTAAAGCGACCAAGGATCGTGCGTACTGCCACCGGAGAGGTGCTGTTGGGATGGGAGCTCGTTTTCCAATTGCAAGGATCGAATATCAGCTGGCCCGAGAAGGATAGCGCCATTCCCTGTGCGGAAAATGATTAACTGGAGTGATCTTCTTTGAATCTAAGATTCATAGGGTGTACGCGTACCAACAATTGTAAAACCTCTGCTTCGAAGTCGGTCAACAAGAGTAAGATTTTTACCAAGCACCTGGAACACCTTTGAGTTGGTGTCCTCAAGAAGCTTCAGCATAACTCTGAAGCCATCCTCTAGGTTCCCCGTCAGACCTACGTGGATGACGGATATTCGAGTGCCTAGTTCCGCCGTGGCATTGGCCAAACGGTTCGAAATGTTAGCCAGCTCAGTCTCATCCGCATCCTGTGTCTTCAAGGCACTAGTGAATCTCCGAATCGAGCCTTTCCGGCTCTTCTTCTCCAGCTTCATTGAAAACTGATTCAGCTCCTCCGCGATTGCGTTCAGTATCTCGAGCTGATGGACAACCGCAGGCGTCTGTAGTCTGGGTTCCTGTCTGACGAGACTAGCCGTCTGCGACGTGACTTGGAGTGACGAGGAGATCTCGTCGAGCTTTTTTGGCGCGTTCTTCACTCGCTCTCGGGCCTTTTGAATTTCTTGGATAGTTTTTAGCAGCGCACCAATGAGGCCGACGACGCTCGCGGCGGTTCCTATCGCGTCTGCCTGTTTCCAGTTGTGAGTCTGTTGTAGCGCCAAGGTCCTTTCTCGGCGAACTGGCCTACTTACCATGTCACTTGGTGTCAATGAAACCTGTGGTGTTTTCTGTTGTTCTTGGTAAGATAGGAAATTACGAATAGGCAGGTCCTGAGAGAGTAGGGCCACACTTCGGTTGGGCCACACTTCGGTTGGACCGCACCTCGGCGGCTAGAGAAACATTCAGGCAATGCAAGGCGGACTTCTCGATCAGCGAATCACGGCTGCAGATCAACAAGGACAAAAGCCTGGGGGCCAAGCAGAACGCAACATCGAGGCAAAATCTCCCCGTCGCCTATGGCCCTGCACGGAGCACGTCCTAGCATCTACCAACGCTATTTTGCCGAATAATATTTCAGACCGGTGCATTACCTACACCATGGAATAAGATAGGTGCTTTTCCACGGCCCATCGCAGGACGGTCATGGAGAGGTCAGCCTTTCTATCCGCGGCTGCGGCTTCAGGCGCTGTCCGGATCCAGATGTGGTGCGCTCCATTGATGCTCAGACACACCGAGTAGCGGCTTGGGAATATCAAGACCCACTCTTCGAACGGTTCGTGACGGAGGTGATGGGATACGATGAATCTGGACGATAGCCAGCGAACTACAGCTTCATTAAATTTTGGTACTCTTCTTCTCTACCATCCTTGCAAAGACGGGCGGCAAACGGCGAGTTCAATGATAGGAAGTTTGTCATTCGCATCAAATCCAAAGACGTCAGCAGACAAAAAGCGAGGCTAAGCCGTGAATGGAATCGGGATCCATCGCATCCCTTTAGCAATTGCCAGTGCGGGACTTGCGGATAGATGCATATTCAGATAAGGTATGGGTACGAAATATTCGGGTGGATAAATACCGCAACGCGTCCCCAAGCTCCCTTTTCTCCCGTCTTATTTTTCTGGCCCGCCAAACTCTCGCCAAACAAGACATCGAGCGCTTCACTCCGCCACAAAACGTTCAATTTGAAAGATAGATTGAGCCGAGAGCGCGCCAGAGGTAAGTCGCTCCCGATCCGCAACAGCGCCGGGCCAGTCTACCACATCAGCCATGTTCTCCCTGCTCTGTGACAGTGATCAACGTGACCAACCTCCCAAAAACCCGGACTTTTTTGTGCCACTTTGACCTTTCAAATGGTTATTTGGCTTTCACAGGGTCCGGAGATTGACGACACCGGCGTGATTATATTTCTACCCGAAATACGTTACACGTCCCGCGCTTTTAAAAACTAGATCCCTCGCCCTACAAGCAGACGTGCTCCTTCGCGAGCTCCGATGTGCCGTGCAGGAAATCTAGGTAGCGGCGCGTACATGCAGTGACTGTGGTGTGCTCCGATGTGATCGTTTCACCTGTCTTGATGGTGGGATTAGGAACTTGGTACCCAATTTCGGTGCTGATGGGACGTCTTGCTCAAAAATTTGGGGTCCAAGAACATCAGACAGGAAGGTGTACTTGGGCTGGAGTTGTTACCTCTGACCATCTAGACCGTAGACCAGCAGCTATAAAAGAACCCCCCCCCCCATCCTGTGAACCAGAGAGTCCAGAAACCGCGCAATGCAAAGTGTCTGCGCTTGCTCAGATTGAAGGTGTCGAATGGAAGTATCTCGCTCATGATGCAGCCGACCACGACATCATCTCTCGGAGGTCCTCCAGAAAGAAGCCGTTCCCAACCCTCAGATTCAACCCCCAGCAGCGCCCATAGTCTCTAGCATATACCACGTCGAATAAGCCCAAGAAGACGACCACAAACTAAAGACACCTCATCGGTGAACAACATAGACTTGTATCTAAATCCGAACGCGAGTAGCCTCCCTCATCGTCGTGGATTTGCACCCCAACAGTTCTCGGCGCCACCACACTGGACGACCACCAACACGCAACAAATCATCTCACTCTGGCATTTCTACCATCAACGGGCACGAAGGAGGCCCTTATATACTAACCGCCCACCCTCCAGATCTCCAGATACCTATTCGGACTAGGCTGAGACCGGCTGGCCGTTTCTCCTGGTATCGTCGAGAGAAGGAGCCATCACGGCATAACTTCTTTGGGGGAAATCCAGGACGTGTACATCATCGACCTGAGCTTTTCCCCCCCAAAAGCTCACAGGTGCCGCGTGAAATGATCTCCGAAGACATGAGTTTATCAACAGCGCTCCGGCGATAACCCTAGATTTTATGACAAGACCACCTGTGACGTCCCCGTCAGACAGGTCAACTGGCAGCCTGGGTCGCAGTAGACACGTCGATCGTGCTTCGCAACGAAAACAACAATCAGATGAGCTGAAACAGCGAGCTGCTGGCCTAGTGAGAACGAAATCACACATGCATCGAGATCACCGAAGAAATGATTGTGAGAGAGAATTGTGTCTTGATTGCCACTCCAAATGCTCAGACAACTATCTAGCCCACCGGTTCCGGTCCATGACACTCTGCCCGTAGACAGTAGGTGCCACATTGAAGACCACACCAGTCCGAAAGCCATCTAGCCCATCCAGCGATTCTCTCCCAAAACGGTTTTTTTTTTTTGCGTTATTTTCTTGTTGATGTGAGTACCAAAAGAGGCCGCTCGCTCTCCCAACAAGCCAACCCAAGCCAGCTCATCCCAGGCGTCTGCGCTACCTCGCAAGGTAGACGAGACACTCGAAGAGCCGGGTTAGGTTGAGCCTCAGAGAGCCGAAAAAAAGCGTAATGATACTCGGGTATTTCTGCGGTCGTTCGTCGAGCCTGCCTTCTCGCAAGAAGCAGGGCATAGGCGTAGAATGCGTAACGGATCATGTCGAAACCTCCGTTTTGAGTTCGGGAGCCAAGAAGCAATATCTTGGCTTTGTCAGTCGACCGACGACAAACGCTCCTCCTCCTACCCCGGACGGAGGGCCTCCAACCAAACCTTCCCCTGCCAAAGAAAATGCACGACGATGAAAATCGTGCTCCGACAGACGCCGTTGGATGCCAGCCACCCCGTCGCCCTCCGTGTCATATCCCAACATCAGTCGTCTCCGTGATCGATTGATTAATACTCAAAAGACACCGCGGCGCATAAACCAGAGATGAGGTACCGAACCGCCCTCGTCCCGTAGTGTTGCCGCCCTCGACCGCGAGGGCCAACTCCCCTTTTGTCCACCAGAAATCAAATGTGGCCCGCCATCCATGCGAACGCCGTTCCGGGCTGATACCGTTTCAGCCGCTTGTTTCCCCCCTAACGCCGTCGTTAAAGAAGCACATGACATGATAAGATGGGAGCGGGTTATTTCCATGCCAGGGGTGTGGTGGCTCGTCTGACGCTAGACGTCACGCCCCGTGGTTAATGTTGTTTTTTTCGATGGCTCAGCCTGTCGTCTTGTTCGTTCTGTCGTCTCCAGACAGCATGCATTTCCAGTCCGGGTAGAAAGTGCCCGTCGTCAGAAGGCCGAAGGAAAAAGAAAAGAAGCCAAACAAAAGACCAGTAAGATCCGTTGGGGTATGGTACAGGTCAAAAGTTTGCGAATATGTGACGAAGCTTTTGTTGCTTAGCGACGAGTCGTATAGGTCTGATCGAGTGTTTTTTCGTGTTTCGTGATCGTGAGTGGTGAGAGGGACCTAGAGGCTCATGATGAGCATGGATGAGGTGCCCGACCCAGTCTAATCGTGCCGTGTCGCCTCCAAAATCAGGAGAGAATGAAAAGAAGAGGAACTATGTACAATCCAAACAAAACGCAGTCGCGTGTTCCGCCGCGACTGCATACGCCACAACGCCTTTCTAAAGAGAAGAGATGGGTGAACCCCTAGGACGTTTGTCCTTGGGGTTGGGGGTGACCCTGGCCTTGGCCTTGACCACGTCCCCGGCCGCCATAGCCGCCACGGTTCTGACCACGGTAGCCACCACGGCCACGGCCACGGCCCCTACCGCCGCCCTGATATCCATTCTGCTGGCCTTGCTGGGGCTGCTGAGTCTGCCAGTTGCCCGGTGCGGGGCCACCCTGCAGAGGCAATTGTTGGCCCTGGATCTGACCAGGCTGCTGCTGTTGCTGCGGCTGCGGCTGGCCCTGGCTAGGCTGACTGGTGCGGAAGTTGGAAATTGGTCTCGGGATGGATTCGGGGTTCTCGTAGACGTAGAGAGACTTGTCGATGCTAGCGGGAATGGGCTGGATCTCTGTTCCAAGATCCTTCTCAATGTTGTAGAGGTTGAATCTGTCATCCCAGTTGATGAGGTTGATGGCAAGACCCAAGTGGCCATAACGACCAGAGCGACCAATGCGATGCAGGTAGGTCTCGGCGTTCTTGGGGAAATCGAAGTTGATGACGACATTCACAGCCTGGATATCGATACCACGGGTGAGAAGATCGGAGCAGACGAGGTTACGGCACACGCCGTTGCGGAAGTCGTGGAAAACGCGGTTTCTTGCTTGTTGGGCCATCTTGGCGTGACTGTAGAAGCATGAGTAGCCCAGCTCGGTGATCTTCTTGGCCAGCAACTCGACACGGTTGGTGGAGTTGCAGAAGATGATGGACTGGTTGATCTGAAGCTTGGAGAAGAGGGTGTTGAGGCAGTGGACCTTTTGCTTCTCTTCGACGAAGGCGTAGTACTGGGTGATACCGCGCAGAGTGAGCTCGTCCATGAGGTTAATCTCGTACGGGCTGACCATGTTCTTGTCGGAGAAGTCCTTGACAGAGAGGGGGAAGGTGGCGGAGAAGAGCATGACCTGGCGGTCCTTGGGGTGGAACTGGAGGAGCTGCTCGATGACGGGGGTGAATTCGATGGAGAGAAGCTTGTCAGCCTCGTCCATGATGAACATGGGGCATTCGCTGAGGTCGGCAACGTTCTTGCCCGCGAGATCGAGGATTCTGCCGGGGGTACCGACCACGATATGGACGGGGTCCTGGAGGCGGATAATATCGTCTCGGAGACCAGTACCTCCGGTGGTGACCATGACGTTGATTCCGAGGTGCTTGCCAAGAGTCTTGCAGACTTGTGATGTTTGCATGGCGAGTTCGCGAGTGGGGACGAGGATGAGGGCTTGGATCTTGGAGACCTTGGGGTTGATCTTTTCGAGAGCGGGGATAACGAAGGCGGCAGTCTTTCCAGTACCGTTCTTGGCACGGGCGAGGATATCACGACCGGTCAGGGCGACAGGGATGGCTTCTTCTTGAATGGGCGACGGCTTCTCGAACCCAGCCTCGAAGATGCCCATCAACAAGTCTCTCTTCAATTGGAAGTTTTCAAACTCCAGACCCTTGGTGTTTGTGACATCCTGGAAGCAAGCTTGTGAGAAGGCGGACAAGAAGTGATGAAGGAGGGAGGTTGGCCTTGCCGGTACATACCTCAGTCTGCTGTCTGTTGTCCCTAGCAGGCAGGTTCAAGCTCTTCTTCCAGTCATCTGATGCGGCGCCATCGCTGCGAAAGTCAGTCCAACGTGCCTTCAACCATGGGTTCCTGCTGGGAGATTGGTGGTGAGGGGGACAAACCTCAAGTTTGTTGCCTTAAGCTTATCTGCGAGTGCTTCCTCCATTTGAATGTGTGTTTATGGAATATGTGCCTAATGGCAAGAGAAGAGAGTGCGATGCGGTCGTTGAAGGTTGTTGCGCGAAAGGGCTTTGCTTTCCCCACTTCGCGATGTGTATCGAGGGGCGAGTCGTGCTCGGTAGGTATTAGGAAGTAGACAGGTACTGTGGGAGTCGACGACAACAAAAAAGGGCAATCGTCAATGGAGAATATTCGATATTCGCAGGATTGTCACTTGTCGCGTGGGAGTTCGTCGTGGGTTCCGTGGCCGGAGGGCAGCTGGTTGGAAGTGTGTATGGATGACCGGTACTCGGGCAGAGTTTCGGTGCAGGAAAGTTGAGGGATGTGGTTGGTGGTTGGTGGTAAGGTAGTGGTGCGTTGTTCGTGGGTTGCGCGATTGCGAAATGTTTGTGTCGTTTGTGGATGACTCGGGCTACTGAAACAGCGTAAAATGTGTTTCGTCCACGAGGTGCAGCGCGAAGAGGATTGTGGGATGGTGGTTGGGTTTGCGTGGTTGAGAGGAGTGTGGTTGTGTGTGTGGTTGTGTGGAGGAAGAGTCGCCTGGGACCTGGAAGCAAGTTTGTGGTGGTGAATCCCCGGTCCCAGTGCATTCGGTGCGCATCAGCTGTGTCGTCGGGGCGGGACCCCTTGCCTTCCTGGTCTAGCGCTGCAGGTGGAGACACGTGACCTTTCACCGTAGGTAGTCCCTCCCTTACTTGAGAGTCTTGCCAGGAAGGTAGAGGCCTCGCGGGAGCTCTTGCTGCTTTTTGAGAGTAGCTCTATCAAGTTTGGTTTTGGTGTTCACATGCAGAATAAGCTTAAAATGCTCAATGTCTCTCAACACAATGATCAAAGTGCTGAAAGTGTCAGGGTAGGTCTTGGATCATGGGTGGTGACATTGACCCGACCCAGCTCACCGAGAGCTTCTCCCGCCGTGCCATTCGTCCCTTACCGAGTTCACCCCGGCTAGCCCTCCATCAGCCGATTGGTCTGATCCCTCTCCTGTATGGAGTAGGTACAGTACGTACTCTCCTCTCCGTCCCCGCTCCACTCGTTTCCTGCAGCGGAGCTATCGGATCGGCTTGGGGAGGAGCACTGGGCCACTGGCAGACTGCAGTAACTGCCCTGGGAGGAAGACCACCCGGGAGTCTGAGCACTGAGCACTGAGCACGAATGCGTCAATTGGACGAGCAGCTGGTGCAAGTCGAACCACCGGCGTCCAAACTCTCTCACTTCCCAGGCCACTTACATCGCCGAGCTCTCTCGATACAAACCCCGACAACGACACCTCAAAAGATGCTCGTCCTCGATCCCTCCCCTCAACCTCCCTGAGATTCCTTTCCCAGTTAATCTGCCTATTCAACCGCAGCCATGATCCTCAAGACGTCCTCGGCATTCGCCATCTGCTCCAGCAACAACGTCCTGAACCTCTTCACCGTCCCCGCACACCATACATCCATAACGTCACCACCCTCACGACGACCGTCTTCCTCCGAACACCCCGCCTCACACAGCACGCGACCCTCAACCTCGCGATCCTACGCAACAGTAAACCACTCCTCTCCAAATGGCGCAAAATCATCAAAAGGCCACAAAGGCACCAGCACCCCATGGCCAACCTGCAAGAACCCCACCCCCTACGACATCTTCGCAATAGACAAAGCAGCACCCTACACAAAAGCCCGCTTCGCCGAGCTCGTGAAACAATACCACCCAGACAAACACCACGCCACAGCCCTCGACTCCCTCCCCGCATCAACCCGCCTAGAACGCTACCGCCTCATCGTCCTCGCGAACGAAATCCTCAGCTCCCCGGACAAACGCCGCGCCTACGACGCCTGGGGCTTCGGCTGGCACGTCCCCGGCAAGGCGGGCGCAGCACCGGAAGACATCAACGAAGTCTACCGCCGCGCCGATAAGGCATGGCGCCACGGCTACGCGCGCAACGGGGCCGACTCCCCCGCTATGAACGCGACCTGGGAAGACTGGGAGCGGTGGCACGAACGGCAGGCTAACGGCGGAGCGGAGAGGCAGAAGCCAATGTACATGTCCAACGCCAGTTTTGCTGCGCTGGTCCTGGCTGCGTTGGCCGTGGGCACGGTGGCGCAGACGACGAGGATGGATAATAGCACGGCGACGTTCCTCGAGAAGAAGAATGCGCACGAGGCCAATATCAGCGAGGCGCTTAGGCGGCAAGGCCAGGCTGTGGCTGGTAAGGGGCGGGAGGAGCGCATTGAGCGGTTTGTGAGAGAGAGGGAGAATATCAATTTTGGGTTCATGCCGAGTAAATTAGACGTTCGGCCGGCGGCGTCAACGAGTAGTACAAAGTAAAGGTTTCTTGGGACTGGGGAAAAGGGAGGCTGGAAATACCCTGCTATCTTACACTCGTATTATCGAGTTCTTATGATGTTATGATACATTGTACAATATAGCGTGCTTAGATGCACGTACACGGGGTCAAATATTCCCCTCCGGCAGGTAAAGAAGAGACTCAAAAGAGAAAGAAATCAGCCCTGATGCGCGTCCGTCCGCTCCTTGATGAGCTGACGCATTACTTTTTCAGCGCCCGAGGGGTCGATCCGCTCCGTCTCGCCCATGCGCATCATCTTGCCGACGAGGTACATGAGCTTGCCCTGAGGGTACTTCTTCTTGTTGTCCATGAACTCCCTCAATACCTTGTCCTCCCCTTCGACGGCCTCTTCTGCGAGCTGCCTGTACTCTGCTTCCGTCATCTCCTTGAACCACAACCCGTGTGTTTTGATGGCGTCCGTGACGGTATCGAATTCGTCGAGGTTGCCGAGATACTGAGCCACCAGAAGCTCCTTGGCGACCTTGCCTGTGATATCTCGCTTCTGTAGGTGGAAGAGGATCCCAGCCAGCGCGGAATGCGGCACCGCTTCGCAGGAGCCGTCTGGAGAGATCGCCAACGTTCGCTGAGCGGCTTCCGGGTCGGCCTTGTCCGCCGTCAATCGACCCAGCTCATGGAGGATCCAGTTGCCAGCGAGGGAAGCGTAGTCGTGCAGGTTGGTCTCCAGGCCAGCGCTCTCCAGTTGACCTCGGAGCTCGTCGACGACCTTGTAGAAGAACTCGAGCCTGCCGCCATCGTCGAGAGACATGAGGGAGACGGCGTCCTTGGCCGTCAAGCCGTAATTTTCAATCAGCTCCGTCAGCTCAATGTCAGGTAACTCCTTGACGGAGGCTCTGATATGATCCACGAGATCTTGGCCAATCACCAGAGGTCCCAGATCGGGGTCCGGCATGTAGCGGTAGTCCACCTCGCCTTCTTTGCCTCGCAGACGGCGAGTATGCTTGGAGCCCAGAGTCCAACCTCTCGTCTCGCTCGCAATCGTCTCGCCCGCATCCAGCGCCTTGATCTGCCGGTCGCGTTCGGCGATGATGGCGTCTTCAACAGCCTTAATTGTGCTCAGGTTCTTGATCTCCGTCCGCGTACCGAGCGGGGTATTCGGATCACCTGTCCTCCGCACCGAGACGTTCACATCAGCACGCAGGCCACCCGCCTCCATCCCGGACACGCAAGCATCTACAGCATTCAGCAGCATCTGGATCTTGCGGACGAACACGGCGGCGGTGCGAGGGTGGTGGAGCTCCGGCTTCGTGATAATCTCAATCAGAGGCATGCCTACGCGGTTGAAGTCAAGCCAGGAGACGTCGTTGGGCTGCGCCAGCGTCTTGGCGGTATCCTGCTCCATCTGAATCTGTTGAATGCCGATTGTGACGCTCTCCCCGTCTTCCGCGGCGATGCCGTCTCTAGCAGTGAGCTTGATCTCGCCGTTGCGAGCAAAGGGCTCATAGTACTGCGTGATCTGGTACCCCGACGGTTGGTCCCACCAAAAGTAATGTTTCCTGTCGAACCGGCTGACGGGCTGAATGTCGCAGTTGAGAGCACACGCCGCGCGCAACGCCGGTATGAGGGTCTCCTTTTGGAATCTCGGCTGAGAGCCCGGCATAGCGACATCGAACAGCGCTACGTGGGAGTTTGGGTCGTCATTGAAAGACGTCGCGGCCGGCGAGAAGAGCTTCCGCGCAGTATTAAGTTGGGCATGGATCTCAATGCCGACAGTCAACTCCCAGCCCTCGACTGTCTGATTGCTTCCCTTTGGCTTTTGGCCTCTTGTCTCCTTTTTAAGCTGCTTCTTCTCTTCCTTGAGCTTCTTTCTCAACGGTATCGGCGGCGCTTCTTGCGGTGCTGCCGTCGCGGTTTGCGCTGTAGTGTATGCCGCCCTCGATTCTCCAAGCCGAGGAGCCGATGGCAGGGCGAGAGCGGAACGGGCCGGTAGGCGGGTGTATGGCCGTCGGGTCGAGGCCAAGCAGCCTTGGCGGGAGAGTTGGCCGTTGAAGAGGTAGCGGGCCAGCTCGCGTGTCGGTATGCGTGCCATTTCGGGGAGGTGACTCTTGTCTCGAGGTACAATCGGTGATAGGGACAGTCTTTGCGGGTCTGTTCGGGGCCTGCGAGCTTTGCGCTCTCGTTGGATTGGGCGGCCGAGATTTCAAGAAGACTGGAAGTATAAAAATCGAATTGCTTGGCGCGTATGTTGTACACCCTCCTCCACGCAGGACTCGTGTCGGTCGACCAGTGGCTACGAAGCTTCTCTGGATGGGCGTGATTGGAGGGGTAGGCTTGGGCGGGCAGGAGGTTCAGACTTGTTGCAGTTCGCCACTATGCGACCATTGTAGGTTTGCGTTTGAATTCTGTGCAGCTCAGTTGGTGGTCTGATTGTAGGTGCCTCCCAGAATGCTCTTTGGGATAGCTTGCGATAGCTTCAAGAGAACCTGGAAGCTCTCGTCGCATCAAAAATGGAATGGAAGCTCCCAGAGATACGTACCTTTATTTTTCGGGCCGCATGGCTTCCGGGCCTCTTCGGATCCGTCCCGCAACGGAAGTGCCAGGTTCTCAGGCCCGGGTGCTGACATAATGGTGCATTGCATCCCCTAGGGCAAGGCAAGAATGGCGCACATGCGCTGGAAATCAGTGGAGTGAGTGACACGCAGGCAAGCCATGCCGCCATGCAGCTAACGTTTGCCTGTCCGTTGTGGGAACGTCCCACGTCACTGGGATGGAACGTTTGGGTCGCCGTTTACGCTTCCATTTCCGTGTCTCCTGTCTACCTTGGTACTTCTATATCACCAGGGTATTTTCTACGTTAGAAGTTGCTCCAAGTTACCTTAGGTATTCTGCCTTTGACATATTTCGATCTAATCGCATCTCAACTGCAACAAGGTTCAGTCAATACGGAGTGCCACAACTTCAAGCCCACCACACGAATACCACCACATGCCACCACATCCATCTTTCAGCTCAGCCCAACGCCGGTGCCCGTCCGTCACACACACACCTCAGAAGTTGGAGCTCGCTGGTCCAGTCTTCCTGGTCATCTGAAACAAATCCGTCAACGGCTGACACACTCTTCACCCGATCACACGGCGCTGCTCTTCCACGTTTTCTTGCGTTTCCTTTCCTTGCCTCCCGTTCTCCCTTACCCCCTTATTGAGAAGCTGAAGCAGTCCCTCCAACGATGAAATTTCCATCCCACCAACCGCTCTCCCTCCCTCCCATTCTGCTCTTAGGGAAATGACCGTTCAGATACCAGTCGCCACGCTACGCCACTCACACAAACTCGATGCCCGCTACCCTCACCGCGATGCTACCACAGCCTCTGCCGCTGTCATCCTGAAGCCGTTCCCCAGAATCTGAACTGATCATCCCGGGAGTTCCCCAGCCCGATCCCGTCCCTCCCAAACTTCTGAGCAAGAGTTTGAGGGCACACCTATTCTTCAACTCTCCTTTATTTTCGTCTTCTGCTGGAGCCCGACACTCTCTTGTGCGCTTCTCATCTTCACTGCCAACCAATGCGACCTTCTAGTAATGTGTATTAAGCTACCGCGACCTCGTGTGCGACTCGCAGTAGCCCTAGATCTACTAATCTGAGACATCCTTCGCCATACAACGGGCCACATTCCAGCTCGTGTCAGTTCGAATATCCGTACATTGTTATACCTACTCGAGCGATCGAGCTACTCGACCGCGAGGGACACCCCAACTTCGGTTCGGCGCCCCTTTAAGCTTAAATCAAGGGAGAGACTCGCCCAACTCCTGATCCCGACGTCCATCACTCGATTCAGGCCGTACACTCAAAACACCAGAATGTCCACGACTTATCACCCTCCTTCGGTGGCCGATGTCCCTGTCACCACCATGGACGACTGCCACACCACAGATCAAGGGTGGCTAGCCTCGGACCCGGTCGACGAGCTCATGCGCGTCGTCGACGCCGTCCCGGCGCCGGCCCCCTCGTCGCCGTTCACGCAGGCCGCCAGCGATAAGACTGTTGCGCCTGGAGATTATCCAGACCATCACATGCCGGCCGATGACACGTCAACGCCAGTTGGACTCCCGCGATCGCGCCCCAGAAGCGCAACTGTCCGGAGGCATTCGTCCATGCCCGCCCCCAACCCAGCCTCGCCGACGCGACGTCGTATCTTTGGCATGGAGCCCGCGCGATCTGTCTCCGATCAACTCATTGCTACCACGGACCAAGAATCTTCCTCAGATGAGACGGTGGTCCCTGCCGAGAAAGAACAGGACGAGGAAGCACCAGTCCGCCCAGCATCACCTACAGAGTCCACCCTCACCAGCTTCACAGCTCTCACTGAGAGAACTCACGGCTCCGGCAGCTCCAGCGGCAGCGGCTCAACCATCACCCAAGCATCGTGGCCCAGGCGCAGAGGAAGTGAAAAGTCGCGAGCCCACGACAAGTCATACCTCAAAACTCGTCGCCAAAGCCGCTCACCAAAGACCCAACAGCAGCTCTCCTCATCAAACGTCTTGAGCTACCTCGAACCAGACTCGCCCAACATAACTCCAGAAGCCATCCAGCGCTCAGTCGAGCAGTCGTCCTACTGGAGGATGCCCGACCCCGCCGCCGCAAGCTACCAGTCGCCCTCGACGCGGAGCACAACCTCGACGGCCTCAAGCAGCTTCCAGAGCGATGTCTTCTCCGAGATGGGCACCGGCGACCACGAGACCGACAGGAGCAGCAGCCCAGATCACAGCATCTACGGCGACTCCCCCTCCATGCCGGGCAAGTTTGAGGTCCCCATGCCCCCCAGTCACGGACACGGCCAACGGCAGCGCGACTACCGCCACTACGGCACCCCCGAGATGCCGCGCGGGACCGCAAACCTGCCTCACCTCCCGCCCAACGCTCTCCAGCCCCGTCTCCCCGGCACGCATCACGGCCACCCGAAGCACCTACCCAGGGCAGAGAAGCTCCCGCTCACGGGGTACGAGCTGATCGCTTCCAAGCTCTGCGCCGGCGACGACACAGAGAGGTCAAGCATAAAGCCCATCTACCGGCGCTTCGAGGCTCTCAATCACCGCCTGCTGCTTCACCTGCAGGACGAGCTCGCCGAGCTGGAGGAGCAGCTCCACCGCCTCGACACGGCAGACACGCAGACCCGGCGGATGCAGAATTGCTTCCTGCCGGCCTCGAGGCGGCAGGACTCCCTCACCGCGGGCGAGCTGCAGTGGCACAAGACGGATATCCTAGGCAAAGTCGGCTACAAGCTCAGCCAATACAGTAAGCCACCCCTCATGTCAATCTCACAATTTTTCCCTCCCTCTGACACGTCTTAGACCACGTCCTCTCATCCTTCAGAGAGACACAGCACCTCCCCAACCCAGACCCCCAAGACGTAGACTTCTACCGCGCCTACCTCGCAAACCACAACCCCATAGTCGAAATCGAAACACGCTTCCTCGATCCCGCAGACGACCTCGTCTCCCTCGCCCGCCCAACCTCTCCATCCTCCTCCGCCTCAGACTCCAGCTTCTCGAGCGACGACCTCCGCACCCCTCAACCGCGCCACGCAAGAATGCCCTCCCTCTCCACCCTGCTGACTCCAGAAAGTCAAAGCGCAGATAGGGCGGAGCGTGTCCGTCGCCTGCTGATCTCGGCTTTGACGGGGTACCTTCCCACCCTCGCCATCGCCTTTGCTGCCGCGTTCTTGCTGCCGATCCTCGCGTTTGCGGTAATCCCGGGGTTCGTGGGGCGTATGGCTGTTGTGTTGCTTGTTGCTGTTGGCGTTGCTGCTGGTGTGGCGCAGGCGGGGTTGTTTAGTAGTCTCGGGGCGGATCGTCCTGCGAGGGTGGCTGCTACGGAGGGGGTGTTGGCTTCTGGGGTTTATGTTGGTGTTATGGCTGTTGTTGCTGGGATCTTTGGCTAAGATATGAAGGAGTGCGTCGGTGTTTAATGATTTGATGGGTTTGATGGAATTTGCGGTAGATGATGATTTAATGATGAATGATACCCCTTCCTCACTTATGTCTTTGCTTCCAGACCTTGTTCATGTGTGTTTTGAGTGGCTTCACTGTGTTCTCTCATGTCACTCTACTCGTCACACGACTTTCGGTCTATGAATATCTACAACGCCAATGTGGCATTTGTTCCTGCTGTCGAAGCAGCGAGATATCTTGAGTCGCCGGTGCTGCCGTCGTCTTTCGTACTCAAGAAACCCTTCGCATTTTCTCCTCATAATCATCTCACTGTGAAAATGAATGTTACCGAGCTAGACGTTCCACCTTCGTCTCGCGTCAGTTCATATCACTTGCATTACTATCTCATACGAATTGCTTAAAGACCCCAGTAGATCCCACGAAGTCTCTTCAATTTCCGTGCCTCCGGAGATACTCTCGTAGACATACTTTCGTCTGGCTTTCTCGCATGCTCTTACTTGATATTGCTCGTATACGGAGTCGCTGCGTAGCACTGAGGGCTATAACCAATGACGCAATGGACATTAAGAACTCTTGAATGATGACGTTTCGTGAAGCTTGTAGGAAGCCTGTGAGAGCATGGCTGTTTCGTCTTGTTCGCATTCTCCGTCAAGTTTAGGAGAGTCAAACTCATAAATCGGTGCTTGTCTTATGGAATATCTTGAAGTTTATTGAAGCGTGTCTAGATTCGATTTTCAACTGCCCCAATCACTTTGACTATTCATTTGCCTATCTCCTGTGCCCTTTACCCCAGATAATCGGAGCAGTGAGGAATCAGTACAGCTGCCGACGATTTCAAGCACGAATTCCAAAGCTAAAGGCGTTGATGAGACGAATCATTCCTCAGCCTGCCATTTCAGCCTTGTTGACCAGCTTGCCAGCCACAATAATATTCGAGCAGTACGCCGTTCTGCTAAGGCACACCTTTATTTTCTCGCATATTGCCACTTTGTTCATTTTCAATTTGAGGAACTCCTCTTGCATTCGTACCACAGACATTAGGATGATACCGTCAAATATTTTCCACTTGCCATACAGTATCCCACTCCATAGTTGTATTAAAACAAACTGTGGATCGCGACCTTGTCTTGCCCTAAGACTGAAAATGCGCCGCATCCTCAATTCATTACGACAATGACGCCTCATCAAGCTTGCAAATATCACCAATGGCTTCTTTGAATCTCCAGATGCTTCCGCACTCTTCTAGAGTTTCCTGCGCTGAATTTGAGTTGTCGGCGCTGAAGGGGGGCCTTTTGATCTACCTTGTCTGATGATCTCGTCCACGCCTAGCTGATAGCTGCACTTATACCAATACTTTCATATGTGCAAAACCCGCCATCGGCCTGACAACGGTCCCTTGGAAACATTGCACACTACCGCAAAGGCTTTCCTCACGACTTGATCCACTATAATACCTTGTTCCTGATCAGCTGGTGCGAACGCAACCAAAGTCTTGTCTATCTCCATCACATTTCTATATTCAAACCTCTTTGAAAAATATGTATTTGCGCGACTCTCATCAGTCTCATTTGCTCTATTTCGTCTGATTCAATGTCTCTTTCTCACATGAATGATATTTGACTGAGCATCCGACGAAGTATTTCGTCCAAACAAGCCTGTATCTGAAATTCGTCCAAACAACACGTCAGTCAATAGAGAGAAATAATCATCAGAGGAGTTCTTCTCTCCCTACTAGATACCAGCTACAATACAGGCCCAGGAAGCCTGAATTTTCCATCCTTTTCGTCACCTTTTGCCTCCATTGGAAAGTACTCAGATCAGTAATCTGGAAAATTCACCGAATGCTCTCACACCCAAAACAGCCACTGCTATCTTCTGCTCTCTCCTTTTTTTTCTTTTCTCAGAAAGAGAAGTGGTCCGTCCATCCCATAACTGTCTGCCCTCGCCCTTTCCGCCTGCTGTCATCATTTCCTCCTGCTTTCGTCTATCACTCCTCTATCACCCAAATTCCAGCTCCAGCCCTTCTCATGATCTGCCTTGCCCATTCTCAATTAACTGAAGCAAATTTATCCCTTATGAAGGTTTGGACAAGTGTGATCTACTCTCGCCTCTTGAAGTCCGTCTCTACTCTCCTTAGTTCTCGCCTATTTTGTGAGCTGCCGTGCCCGTTTCAAAAAGGCGAGAGCGAGTTTACCCAATCTCATTTTTGGGAAGCCTTTGCCTCCCCAAGTCCTTTGGTCTCGCCTCATTGTCAGCTGTCATTCCCGCTTCATAAACCATCCAAGAAAGCTATCCTTATGGGCAATTCTCTCACCATGGAGCTCAAGTTGCCTTCTCTCGCTTCTTGTGAAGAATTCCCCTCTGGCCTCCTTTTCTGGCCTGATGTGTGATTTGCCTTTCCCATATCTTGCCTCACTCAAGCAAGCCATCTAAATCCTCATTACGATGTCCATGTAGTCCACACCTTATGCTTTCTCCCCCTTTGAGTCTGAACTCAAACAGCCAGCTACCTCCTTGTTTGTGAGCCGTTGTCCCCTCTTCTTGATTAACTCCGTCAACATTTCCATACACAAGGAGTCTTACTCTCACTCGTCTGCTCTCGCCTTCTTTGCAATCAACTTTACCAACCTCTGAAGCAAACTATACAGATTAACAACTTCAGGCATGTGGCCCAGGTCGTCTGCTCTCGCCCTTTGAGATTACCTATGGCCCCCTGGCTCTCGCCTTATTTGTGAACTACCTGACTACTGTGCCCTCCTTTTCCAAAGGCTCCCTGATTCTTATCATCAGTTCCATGGGCATGTGTTCTGGGCCGTCTGCTCTCGACTGTTTTGATTTCTACCCGCTGGCTCTCGCCTCTTTGGTGAAATTCTGCATGCCCTGGCTCTCGCCTTGTTTGTGAACTTCTGTATCCCGCGGCTCTCGCCTCATCCGTGATCTACCCGCCTCCAGTCTCACTCAAATCCGCTCTTTTGCAACAAATCAGTGATTTAAACCATTAAATCGACCAATGAGAAAATTCCGCAGCACCCTTTTTCTCTTTTTGATCCCCGTCCATAGCTCTCGCCTTCAGAATAAGATGTTCAACCCGCAAACCACCCCAATCGGCCAATCACCAGTTGATCCAGGGGTACGTACGTACCTCCAACTATCACGAACCTCCTCTTCAACAGCCTCATTGTTGACACGGCCTAAGGTATCGAAAAGGGTGGTTCAACCACCCACCCAGCCCTGAGTGATCCCGTCGCCTTTGCCCTCCTGCTGCCCTCTACAAAAAGATCTTCTCTCTCCCCCCCAAATCCCAAACTTTCCTTTCCTCTCACCCACTCTTCAACTTCGCAAATCCGTCACACACTTTTGCCCACAAGCAACCGCACTTTTGCACCTTGTATCCCATACACACTATCCATACCACATACTCCCTTCCAACTCAATCAACCGCAAACATGCGCGCCTCTACCATCGCCAAGGGCTACACCTTCTACTTGGGCACTGGCCCTACTATGACCGTCATGGTCCAGCCTGATGGCGCTACCGGTAAGTTTCCCTTTCTCAAGCATTCGCGAAGCGCGTTGTCAAAGCTCACACAAATCCAGAGACTGGTTCGTACGAGCTCACTACGTTCCTCGATGAGCCTGGCATGGGTCATCCCACCGAGACTGCCTACCCGGCTGTCACTGGTAAGTTTCAGTCTCGTTTCTCCTTTGGAAGCGCATTTTCCTAACGCGTTGATTTTCCCAGTCCTTACTTCTGAGGTCTGCGCCCTTGTGACCACCCAGATGTGCTCCGCCATCGAGGTCACTCAGACTCTCAGTGCTTCTCAGCCGATGATCACTGAGACCGCTGGCACCACCACCTCCATCTTGGAGTCTGCTTCGTCCTCTTCCACCAAGAAGACTAGCACCTCCTCCGAGATCAAGGAGACCTCCACCTCGGTCTCCATGACTAGCACTGGCACCCAGACTGTCGCCACTCCCACTGCCTCGTCTGAGGCTTCTCAGACTGAGATCATGGTCTTCTGCGCCATCGCTGGTGCAATCATCATGTATTTCCTTTAAGGAAATCAAGTCTAGATATGCAATCTTTGGCAGTTCCTCACTTGGAATGGCCTAAAGGGAATGGATGGACTAGGGAATTGGTTTGAGCCATTGAGCTAAGGAATTGGAACTTCATCAAGGATTACGGGTTTCAGGTTCTTCATAGGCATACAGGATTCGGATGCATACAAGTAGCATTTGAGTCAAAGGCCTCATTACAGAAAATTGACATTACCTCGTCACAAGATTCTCTCTCTGGTTCCTCATTCTGTGACTATCCTCTTCAGTGTGACTATGCCTTGCTAGTGAGATGTTTAATCCCATGATGTGTGACGCAATTGTGGCCAGCCAGGACCGTTCGCGATGTCAGTTTGAGCCTTGTTTTGGTGTTTTCCATGAAGTGAGAGATGATGCCGTCACACCGCCGCTACGATGTGCCGCGCTACTGGAATTGCAGTTGATATTCGTAAGCGACATCACCGTCATTCAGCAGTATTCGCGCAAGACGATTGTAGTTCGCTCCAGCAGTACGTATGGTGTACCGCCCAAGAGACTCTCGTCATGGTGTTTTGAGGTCGACAGAGACGACGCGCTTCGTGGCGAAATTCGCGGCATGAAGGTTGTACACAGAAGCAAGAGTATCACCATTCCAAGGCCTCGGTTCTACTGACGAAGCAATCTGCTTTATAGACGTTCAGTGACGAGTATTACAAGACGTCAGCGTAATCGAAAACCGCCGGAGCCATCGCGACACTGAGGCTAGACTCGCATACCAAAATATCACGATTCCAGGGCATCTATTCTGCGAACGAAGCAATCCGTCTATCTGCTCCTCCATAGATCAACAATACGGCGCTCGAGCGTCCTCTATAATATTCCGAAGCCATCGCGAAAGTCCAAAGACAGTGGTTGGCTCGGGAAATACCAAAGACGAAGCCCTTGTTTGGACGCCCATCGAAGCTGCTGCTATTCTCATCACATGGAACCAAACACTGGAATATCGCTCCGGCGCTGGCGGGACCGCGGCGGCTACAATCGCAATCAACATCGTCACAACTATACAGTCGCTTTACGAATCAAATGAACGGAAGCTAGAATTCCCTGCTTCTCGTACCTACAGTCATCTCCCATCGCGGCATCGCGGCCTCACAACACTACCAGAACTCCCTCAAAGGACACCAAACACACCAAAGAAGCCCCTCTTCCGCCCTCCATTCAATTCTCCCAAAACAGCTGGAACCACCCACCACAATCTCGCTCCTTCCACTTCTCCTCCATGTGAAAATTCTTTCGTTTCTACGGCGATGGGTTCCCGTGTGGTGTGCTGACTTTGGTGTGTTGTTCAGCGGTGGTTGTCCCGGTGTGGATTCACGGGGCCGAGAGCCCCGGAAACTTCGGTGCACCGCCGGCCTCAAGCTCCGGAAGTGGCCGAACTTACCCCGGAAGGTTCTTGTTTGTTCTAGTTGCGTCCAATTGTGCTGCGAGGCTGAGATTTTCTCACCTCTGTATATACTGTAGATAGCGAGTGTCAAGAAGGACAAAGTCAGGCCTCATGGAGATGGTAACATCGATTGTTGTCGCTCATCGACGGACTTAGGAGGTATGAAGGGTTAAATATTGCCCCAAAAATCCAGAAACACCTTGTTTTCGTGGGGATACCACCGTAGTCTACAGCCTATACCATCAATATCTCATGCCTTTCCCTAGGCCCAGTAACATCAGCCTCATACCTCATATCTCGTAGACGCCACAGAAAACAATCCCGCGATGCCCTCCTCCATATCCAATCCCTCGACCCATCACAAACCTCACAAACCCCCTCAAGACCCCTCAATTCGGCTTCCCAACCCCAACCTCAACCTTCCCCCTCTCAACAACCTCACACACCCAACCCCCAAGCCCTCCCTTCCCCTGCCAAAACCAAACAACCTCCAACCCGCCCAAAACCCCCCTAACCCTCCGACTACAATTCCCAAACCCCGCAACCCCCCGAACGCAAACCTCCCTCAGCACCCTCCTCTGCGCGAACCCCATCCGCCGCTCCGTGAGCAGATACCGCTCCATCAACCCCGGCGTAGCCCAGCTCCACGCGTTCTCGCGGTACGGAATCAGCTCCGTCTCGTGGTAGAGCTGTCTACAGACCAGCACCAGCAGCGTCAGCCCCCGTCCCAGCACCGCGGCCTGCTGTCGTGAAGACCTCTTCTTTTTGGTGCTGGTCTTGGGGGTGGTATCTCCTCTTTCTGGTTCTACTATCTGCCTCGCGGGGGATGTAGTAGTAGTCGCGGGGACGGAAGTCCAGGGGTTCGCGCCGGGTCGGAGGGCAAGGCAGTGGAAGGATCCCGTTTTGGGGTCATGGAGAACATGAATGCCCATATTGGATAGGAGAAGCCGGTATATCTTGTTGCGTATCTCTGGCGGGAGGCGCAGGAAAGGAGATTGTGTTCGGTTCAGCTCCCATCTGTAGCATGACCGCCCAGTTAGCAGAACTCCCAATTGGCATTGTCCCGGGGGCAGGCGTAGCAAAAGACGGTGCAGGGTAAACACTCACAGCTCAGCCTCCCTTGAGCCCGGCTCCGGTAGGTATCCCAAGACGCCATATCGTTTCCCCGTTGCATACGTCGCAGAATGCATGAGTTGGGGAAAGGATGAGGAGAGGTTGACCGCGACACACTTCTAGGCCGAGGTTGAAGGAGTGACATGTCGTTCGCGCCACCCAGGGGGGAAACGTGGGCGTGGGGTACCTTGTACCGTGTGTGGGGGTTGGGGAGAGTGAGGTGACCTGCCGCCCGGCCCGTGCTTCTTAGAGTGCGCCAATCGACACAGCGCAGTGACCATCTATGCGAACATTATAGGTAGTTACTATCCGCATCCAAACTATCTTGACGGTCTATCATCAGTTACAATTCTCAACAATCGACACGTTAGCAGAAGAAGCAAAAGACCGGTGTTCAATGCTAAGTGGGACCGATGATGGACACATTGGAGCTCAGGATAGGCATTAAATTCTAGAATGTACGTGGGCGAATCACGCGAATAGTATAGTACAGAATAAGCAAGGCTGAAAATCAAAAGATGGCTGTGCCGCCGTATGCATTTCGTCACTGGATATCACAACCTCCCTTACACTGGTACTTCCGTCCCGTGGGTACAGACTGGACAACCCTCCCTCACTCGGTCCTTGAGCAAGCGCGCATGCGTAACCTTTGAGCCAACGCGATACCCGCTTCTGATCGACTCCTCACTAGCCAGCCCAAAGTCGGCCTCTTGTCTCTTGCCAGGGTAAAGCATCTCCATGAGATGTGACTGGTGGAAGACGTGCCCGCAAGCAAATCCAACCAAGGTTTCCATCTCGTACTCTGTGAAAGACTCGTGGCACTGGGCGCAGTGGCCAGGCTTCGGCGGCTGATGCGTGTGGCCGGGCTGATCCACCGCCTTTGGTGCTTTGAAGAAGCTCTCTTCCACTTCCTCCGCACTGACCGGCGGATGCACGACGTCTCTGACCTTGACGTCGACATGATCCGTTGATTGAACGACGACTTCAAACTTGATTCCCTTCCGCTGCCCACTGCGCAGGTCATTTTGTGCGGCGGCGACCTCGCTTCGAAGTACCCGCGCAACACCCGAGCTGATACTGTATTGAATCTCGTGTTCCTTCATGATGTGTTTTAAGCCCTCTCGCAAGCCTTCGATTTCGAGTCCTTCAGGAATGCGCCTCACGAGCTTGATGGGATTGATGGCCGTTCCGACTTCTTCGAGAAGGCCGCGGATAAAGCTCGGCTTGTCCATGCTATAGTTCAACAAATCGTCCCAGAGATCAGGGTCGTCTTGTTGCTTCGCAAAATCGATGGCCTTCTTGACATCCTTCAGTCGATCAATGATGAGATAGAGCGCTCGTTTCATCTCGCCTGTCTTGGAGTACAAATGTACTAGCTCGTCGTCGTACCTGTACTTTTCGCACTCTTGGACAGCCTGCAGTTGTTAGTTTGCAAACTAGGTCTCGCTCATGCCAGAGCATTGCCAGCAATATTGGAGACAATATGTTACTCACCTTCTCGAATTTGTACGAGGTCGAGGACTTCAAAAAGCTCATCAAAAGGTCCCGATCGTACTTGGCAAACAGTTGAACAGCCATGTCCGCAAATTCGTTAACTTGGGATTGGCTGTCCATCAGCAGCCTGTCGCGAGTCTCCCCGGAATGCTCCTCTATTCCCTCGCCCTTGTACAAACCGCGCAGGTAGAAGAAGAGATATAGGTTGAGTTCCTTCTCTTCAAGCTGCGATACAACCACAGAAGGCTTGACGAGACCATGCTGTGCTTCGTCAACGAGGAGAGTGATGGCCTCCGAGGTAGCAGCTTCGAGTTCGTCTGGTCCCATGGTTGCGAGCTTTTTATTCGGCACCCGCAATCCGATGAATCCGGGAATGTCGTCAGTCACTGCTTCGGCGAGATGGTTGTCGCGGATCAAGCGGAAAGCAGAATCCGCGTCTTGTAACTTGATGTGACATTTGAGCGATTCCCTGAAGCGTCCATTTGCCTCGTGTAAGCGTGCCAATGACTCCATCACAATCTTCCAGTCGCGACCCTTCTCACCCCCCTCGACGCTGTCCTCTCGTACATCGCGGTACTTGAGCTGGTTATCCAAGGCTGTGGTGACGGTCTTGATGTCAAAGAGGTCAGTCGGCCAGCGGTCTAGCAGTTCTCTGAATCTCAGCTTGTCTGCCTGAATGTAGTGATTCAAGACGACTTCGTAGATTGTGCCTGGGATCGGCGGGTACATCGGCTCAGAAGGAATGTAGTCCGTGATCTCGTCGAACTTGTCGGCTCCCGCAAATGTCCAGACCCATTTTTCCCATCTGTCGGGGGAGCCAAGGACTCTGCTGCACACCTTACCGGCTTCAGCCCAGCTACCTGCCTCAATCAACTCCCGAATCCAGAGCTCGCCAATGCGTCTCTTCTCCCTCTGCGCCGAGGAATTAGGCTGTCTTGCTAGCCCTGTAGACCCCATGACGGATGAGGCATCGTCAAAGTCCTCTTGGCTGCTTTGCTTTCTGTCTGGCGTTGTTGGAACGAGCTCATGAAGGTTCTCTGGAGGTGCAGCCATGATCTCGGGGTGCTCGTCAAGCAATTCCCATGCTTTCTGATAGTCTTGGTGCTCCAGCAGCCAGCCCAAGTGGTCGCCAAGGTCTCTCTTCGTTCCGAGAATGAAATCGAACGGGCTGTGGATGAAGATCTTTACTCCTGGCTTAATGAGGTTGGGATGGACTGTAGGTGTTCCTGATCTCCGGGCGCCACTGACTGAGCTCGGGACCTGCGTGCTAGAGACACCGTCTCCGCTGTGTCCACTCCTGATACTTGCACCAGAGCTAAATAGTGTCCTGGGGTTGATGGCGGCATTCCACATATCTGAGCCAAATCCAGTGATTGCTTCCAGGGCTCCCTTGGATGAAGCAACCGCCGAGGCTGCGTTCTGTGCAGGGAGAACGCCGAGATGGTAGTCGCCCGATGACAGCCTCTCATATCTGCTTACACTAAGGCCATCTTTGTCGACTTCGGCTTGCGAGCTCAGGTCGATCAATCGGAGTTCCGGCGGTAAATTGTTCTGGCGGCGTCGTATTCCGCCAGATGGCTCGCTACTCGCCGACGTTGTTGACAGTTTCGATTTGTGACCCTTGCCGGCCTTTTCATCATCATCGTCTTCGTCGTCGTCCGGTAATACATATGCTAGTACAAGGAGAAGATTTTGGGTATATAACGAAATTCCAGAAATGATGCAATCCATACGAAGGCTACGAGGATATTAGCTACCAATCGCCCCAACGTGCTGGGAGGGTATACTCACTGTTTGGCGATTTCGGCACGTCCAATCGACTTTTCACTAGCTCGCTTACCAGTACCAACACTGCCGGGGTGGACGTGGATGATCCAGATTGTGCCTCCCCAGCCAACCAGTAGCCTCTCGATCTTCTTGGTACTTGAGGTTCCATGTTGCGTCGAGCTTTCGGGTGCCAGCGTTGAGCCAACGTCTTTGCGCCCGGCCTCCCCGTCTTCAGTCTCGACAGCTTGCTCGTCGATCCATTCGACGCGTCCTTTCCAGACGCTTGCCATGGTCTCCCACTCATCTGTTTGAGGGCGATCTACGTGGCCGATGCGTTTCCAGGCGTCGTCCGCGTCGGCACTCTCCAGGTGCAACTTTGACCGCATAATCTTCACGCCATGCTCGTTCAGCCAGACTACGTACTTCCCGGACAGTGACCACTTGATATTATTGATTGTGCCTTCGCCAGAGTGCAGAATCGTGTCCTTGCCTGTGTTGGTACCCAAGCCCATGCTACCAAGCCAGCCAGAAGCGGTGGCAGCTGCGGTTCCGACGGTCGTCGAGGTGCTACGGCCTGGCTGGCCTCCGGTCGTTAGGATAAGTTGCCCAGCGAGCCCACCCGAAAGGTATGTCCGGTCATTCTTGTAATCGGGGGAGAGTGAGACGGCCTGCACAGGTCGCGCAAAGTTCCGCAACTGAACATCTTTTGTATCTACGAGGGAAAAGACGCAGACGTTGCCGTCCATGGACGATGTAGCGATGTGGACGTTATTAGAGGGCGTGTTGGAGACGGGAGAAGGATCCTTAGGCCTTCTCGAGGCGGCGGCGGGGGAATTGCCCGACTGTCGAGAAGGTGGTCGTTGTTTTGCGACACTTTCAGCAGCTTCTTGAGCGAGTCTTTGTACTGCTTCTGACCTTGCTGTCGGCAAGGGGGGTGGGTTTGGGGATATGGAGATGCTGGTGATGGAAGCGGTATGGGCATGATATACGCGGAGAGATTGGAACATGGGCAGTTGGATGACATGGATGTTGCCGTTATGCGTTCCTATGATCTAGTCATGGTCAGTTGACTCATAGAAATGCACTCGACAGGCAGCCTTACCATCTTATCACCCGCGACGAGGAACGCGCTGGTCGCATCCCCATTGCGGTAAATGGGACCCAGGTGTTGAGTGAGCCTGGCATATTTCAGCCGGGGCTCCTCGTCATCGTCTTCATCGTCGTCATCTTCATCGTCGTCGTCGTCGTCTTCTTCGTCGTCATCATCGTCCTCGTCGTCCTCGTCATTGTCTTCCTCATCCTCCTCTTCCTCCTCCTTGTTGTCCGTGCCATCACCATCCTTCGTCGACTCTTTCTCAGACTTGGTCGCGGCCAATTCCTCCGGCGCAGTCACAGCCTCGGCCGTCTCAGGCCCTTTGCCTTTCTGCGCAGCGGTAAGACCATCGCGATCGGGATCGGAAGCGTCCGTCATTGTGCTGGGTGTACCGTCAACTCGAGGCTCGCATTGGCATTGTCGTTGGTCGATGGAGTACCAGAAAGTCGGCGGGCCTAGGCGGAGATTATGAGGCAATAGCTTGGCCTAGCGAAGAGAAAGACTGCAATGGAGGAATCTGAGGCAAGGAACGGAGCTACCCTGAGCTTCGGATCGGGTTCGACGAGCTCCTTGGGGGTGCGTCGCGGTCTGTTGAGGTTTAGAGGAAGCTTAGCTGCTCTTCGAATGAGTTGTCGCGCAAGTCCGCTACGTCACGAGGCGTGCTCGGTACGTACCGAAGAGCTACGATGGCAGCTTCCAATGGCGCCTAGGTACTCAGCAGCACCTACCGGTAAGGTACCCTGGAAAGAAATGCGATGCGGTGCACTTGCGCCTGAGGCACAGCGAGAGC